CCATTATCATGACCTCCTGAAGGAATGGAAAGAGTTCCACTACTATATTCCTTTTATGAAATTTTATCTTTTTTCCTCCATTAATAGTTATAATGAGTACCAAATTCAACATTTGTGGTCATGACTTGAAACCTTGCCTGTAAATTGTAGTAGTAATTGTAATTGTATACCACAACATAGCTGATGTAGTGGAGATCTTTCAATTTATTGATCTATCTATAAAGGATATAACCTTTTTAGGTCCTTTACCAGGACATTATTTTGAGAAACAGTGTGAACATGAGCAGGGTAGGGGCAGAGGGGGACAAGGAGAGAGTCCCAAACAGGCTCTGCACTGTCAGCATATAGCCTGTTGCAAGGCTTGATCTCACAAACCTTGAGATCATGACCTGAGCTAAAATCAAGAGTTGGACGCTTAGCTGACTGAGCCACCCAGGTGCCCCAGGAGATACTTTAATAAAAGAAGGTCTATGAAAGATATGAAAGATAGCCATGCAAACACTAGGCATGTTCTTAACAGGAATGCTATCCCAACTTAAATTTTATTAACTTTTCACCTCCCATCAGACCCTAATAATTATTTACTGAAGGCCAGAGCTTTTGACTGTGTTGATGTTTAAAGGTCTTTAGGAAGTTATGTGGCAATTTCAGCTCTTTAAATAAAATTTAAAAAATTAGGTCATTCTGTTAGCCGAAATTTGATCTCATTTTGATTTTGATTAATTTTTTCATGAAATTTGTTATGGCAAGCTTTTCGTGTTTTAAATTTTGGAGACTAGTACTAACCTTTTGTAATTGGGTTCCCTATTTGCAAAACTTTTTTCTAAATGTACAGTTACTTGTATAGATAAAACTGATTTGTTGTATTTCTTAGACAGTTCTTGAGAAGCTGTTTGGGTCTGTGTGTGCGTGTGTGTGTGCGTGTGCGTGTGTGTGTGTGTTTTTGTTAAGAGAACCGAAAGCTAGAGAACACAAAGCTAAATTGATGGTATTTTTACCCTTCCCATCCTTACCTCCAAAATTCCTACCCAGAAAGTGATTTTGTTCTCCATAAGAACATTCTACATATTCAGTATATATATTAACATTCTTACATATATTTTTAGTTGAAAATGGTTTTTAAAAAGTTTGAAAGAAGAAATCACTTGAGTATTTGTTGATTATTTGCCATGTGCCTTTGCTAGGTTTTCTAAATACTTTGATTGGTTGGTTGTATCATTTAGATTGAAACATCAACTACATGTTAAAGGAAATCACAATTCGATTGTTAGGACATTTGCAACACTACTGTCATGACAAGATAATAAGTAGATGAAGTTACAAAAAAATTCCTTTTCTTTGGAAAGCACGCGCGCGCACACACACACACACACACACACACACTTTATAACTACTGGTACTTGTGACTCTTAAGGCTTTCAGACTGGATTTTTTAGTGAATATTTCCAGTAAGCATAATACTAGCATATATGATACTCTTGTTTCACTAAAGTGTGTAAAGCTTGGTATCCTAAATGGCACTCATGTGGTTTTTGTTTAATCACACAGTTAATACCTTTTTTTTATGAATGGCAAATCCATGCCAAATTGGTAGGGAGAAGCTGACAGAAAGGGATAAATATCCTCTTAGTTTCCAGATACTCTTTTTTAAGTTTATGAGGTTTATGGAGTTATTAGGTGGGTGGATGAGCTGGGGAGTGGTAGTGGTGAGGTGACAGTGGTGATGGGAGAGGAATAAAAAAATGACTGAATTTTCCTCTGGTATGTGCTACAAAACAGTTCTCCACAGACCTTTCATTCATTTAACAAATACTTATTAAGCACCTTTTATTTGCAAGTTTTGGCATTGTGGGGTGGGGTTAAAGTGGTTGGGAATTGGTTCTCAAGGAATTTATGTTTTAAATGTCTGTTTATTTTTGAGAGAGAGAGTATGCACGTGCTGGCCTGCAAGTTGGGGAGAGGCAGAGAGAAGGAGAGAGAATCTCAAGCAGACTTGGAGCTATCAGTGCAGAGCCCTACTTGGGGCTCAGTCTCGCCAACTGTGAGGTCATGACATATGCAGAAATCAACGCTTAACTGATTGAGCCACCTAGGCACACTTTATGTTGGTATTGAATTATAAACTGTCTGCCAGTTACATAAATACATAGTTAAGATTTTCAGAGACCTGTCAGGTATGCTGTCAATTTCATCCTCTGAGAAGGTTCTTTTAAGAGTTTCTCATTACCTCCAATTTAGACTGCCCCCTGTTCTCTGTGTATAACTGTCATCTTAGGATTTCTATTTCCAGTCACCCTGGGGATTCTCTTTCCATCTCTCATCTCAGTACCATATTGTTGTAACTGTTGTGGTTTCACAGACATCTAGTTTCCTCAAATTAAAATCTTGACTATTCTTACTGTTTATATAAACTTTAGATTCAGCCAGCATCCTTCAAAAAAAAATTTTATCTCTTAAATATCTTTCATATCTTCTGTATATATTAACTTGAGTTGTATAATTTGACTTTTCCATGTCAAAGAATTGTCAAGTATTGGCAATTTGAAGCAGTTCTACTTAATAGAATATTTCTTGCTAATTTTGTATTTTATTTTACTTATTTAATTTTTATTAAATCCGAGTTAGTTAACAAACAATGTAATAATGGTTTCAGGAGTAGAATTTAGTGATTCATCACTTACAGAAAGCACTCTGCCCAACAAGTGCCGTCCTTAATGCCCGTCACCCATTTAGCCCATCCCCCCACCCAGCACCCCTCCACAAACCCTCATTTTGTTCTCTGTATTTAAAAGTCTCTTATAGGGGCGCCTGGGTGGCTTAGTCGGTTAAGCGTCCGACTTTCGCTTAGGTCATGATCTCGCGGTTCGTGGGTTCGGGCCCCGCGTCTGGCTCTATGCTGACTGCCAGCTCAGAGCCTGGATCCTGTTTCAGAGTCTGTGACTCCCTCTCTCTCTGACCCTCCCCTGCTCATGCTGTCTCTCTCTCTCTCTCTCCCAGAAATAAATAAAACATTAAAAAAAAAGGTCTCTTATGGTTTGCCTCCCTCTCTGTTTTTATCTTATTTTTGTTTCCCTTTCCCCATGTTCATCTGTTTTGTTTCTTAAATGCCACATATGAGTGGAATCATATAATTATCTTTTTCTATTTCGCTTAGCATAATACATTCTAGTTCCATCCACATTATTGCAAATGGCAAGATTTCATTCTTTTTGATTGCCAAGTAGTATTCTGGTGTGTGTATGTGTATCCACACACACACATACATACATACCACATCTTCTTAATCCATTCATCAGTCAATGGACATTTGGCCTCTTTCCATAATTTGGCTATTATTGATAGTGTGGCTGTAAACATTGGGGTGCATGTACCCTTTCATGTCAGCATTTTTGTATCCTTTGGATAAATAGCTAGTAGTGCAGTTGCTGGATCATAGGGTAGCTCTATTTTTAATTTTTTGAGGAGCCTCCATACTGTTGTTTTCCGGAGTGGCTACACCAGTTTGCATTCCCACCAGCAGTGCAAAAGTGTTCCTCTTTTGCATCCTCACCAACATCTGTTGTTTCCTGAGTTGTTAATTTTAGCTATTCTGACAGGTGTGAGGTAGTGTCTCATTATGGTTTTGATTTGTAGCTAAGTTTATATTTTAGTATTGTTTCTTTTGCAAATGGGGATTTTTCTTCTGTTTCATCTTGTAACTGGTGGTTATGGTTTGGGTAGAGTTGAATTGATTCTATTTGTTTGTTTATTTATTTATGTATTTGAGAGAGAGAGCCAGCACATGAGCCAGGAAGAGGGGCAGAGGGAGAGAGAGAATCTTAAGCAGGCTCCATGCTCAGTGCAGAGCCTGACTCAGGGCTAGATCCCCCGACACTGGGATTTTTACCCGAGCTGAAATCAAGAGTTGGATGCTCAACTTACTGAGCCACCCAGGTAATCCTGATTCTTAATTTTATATCTAGGAATATAATTTTTTATACCCAAGATGCCTTTTAATAAGTGGTTCTTTTTAGTTTTCCACCCGTATAAACTCATTACCTACAATTAATGATCATTTTATTGTCTGCTTTTCCATGTTTATATCCTTTATCATATTAGGTAATACTAACAATAATGGACATTCTTGTCTTGTTTCAGATCTAAATAGGAGTATTTTTAAGTTTCTTCTCTGTTTGGTACTGACTTTCAGGCTTGTATATTATGAATACATGTTTCCATGGTAAACATCTGCTTATTCCTATTTTTAAAAATCTTAATGGTATAAGTTTATCAGATGTCTTTCAGTGACTATAAAGATAATCATATCTTTCTGTGATATTTTTGGCATGGTAAATTAAATAAACAGGTTCTATTATATTGAACCACTTTTGAATATCAGAGCTAAACTCTACTTGATCAGTATATTATTTCTTTGGTATGTCCCTAAAGACTTTCTTTTTTTATTGTTTAATTTAGAATTTTTGTGTCCTAGATCGTAAGTTGTACTAACCTGTAGCATTCATTTGTGTGTGCTCTTTCTTTTAATTTTGGATATCACTGTCATGTTCCTATATAAAAATATTTTGGAAGCTGTACTTCTGTGTTTTGAGACAGTTTAGGTAGCTTTAGAGTTATCTGTCCTTAAGTACTTAGTAAGGTTTCAAATATCATTGGCATCTGGTACTTTCTGAGGGTGTTAGCCCTTTGATAACTTTTTCTGTTCCTTCTGTGATTATTTTCAGACACTCCTTTTGTGAAGGCTTTACTCTTTTACCTTTATGAATTTCATAATGTCTTACTTGGAATGCTGATAACACATTGTTAATGGTTTTTGTTTTTAGGACATTAAATAAAAACTCCCATCTTATGTATATTTATCTTCATTAAATTGTTAAGTTCTTTAGGGCATTAAGGTAGGAGTCATCTATTTACTTATTGCCTCAAATTCTAGCCCATAGTAGGGAACATGTTGGCTTAACAACTTTTCCTTCTTTCTTTTGGTGATGGTGGATATTTTACAGGCTTCCCAGTTGGCGTGTATGTTGTAAAGAGAGTTCTTCAGCTTCATCATATTACTCTCAAGATGACAATTGTGCACTAGAAAATGAAGATGTACAATTCCAGAAAAAGGTACCTTAAGTAAAGTTGACCATGTAATTTGTTTGTCAGCTTTCTAAGACTTCCTCAAAACATTCAGAATAAAAGTAATTTCAAAAATACTATGATATAATTTTTGGTGATTTTTAATTCTCCTCACTGTAATCTGAAGAATTACTCAGGTAACTCTGGAAGTAAGCTATCTTTGAGATATTTATATGTTTATTCTTTTTGCTTATGTTTGGAATGTTCTAACATCCTTAGTCCTAGAGTAGGGAGAAAAATAGTACCTATTCAGAGAACTGAAAACCAGTGGCTCACTTTTTAATGCTCTAAATAGCTAAAGGGTTTCAAAAGAAACACCAGTCTTATAAGAACTTAGAAATCAGGATTATAGGGAGAGTCTGCAATCAGTGGCTATGTAGGTTTTTTTTAATAATTTGATGGAGTAAATAGAGTCCAAAAAACAAGACCAGATGATCTTTAAATCATTTATTATTGTATCATTTTAAATGATAAAAGGTGAGTATTGACTAGATTTGGCACCCACTCCATACATACGTATAAGTATGTGTATATGTATATATATATGTATATTAAAATACAGTTGACTCTTGAATGACATGGGCTTGAGCTGAGCATGTCCACTAATGTGCAGATTTTTTACAGTACTATGCTGTAAATGTATTTTCTCTTATGATTTTCTTAATATTTTCTTTTTTCTAGCTTGTTTAGGTTTATTTCTTTATTTTGACAGAGAGAGAGAAAGAAAGCCCATGAGCCCATGGCTTGCACATGAGCAGGGGAGGGGCAGAGAGGGAGAGAGAGAAGCCTAGCAGGCTCCCAGATGACAGTGTGGGCTCATGACACAGGGCTCAAACTCACAAACTGTGACATAATAAACTGAGCCAAAATCAAGAGTCGAATGCTTAACTGGCTAAGCCATCCAGGCGCCCCTTCTCTAGCTTAATTTATTATAAGAATACAGTGTATGCTACATATAATATACAAAGTATGTATTAATTTACTGCTTATATCATTAGTACAGCTCTGGTCAACAATAGGCTATTAGTAGTTAAGTTTTGGGGGAGTCACAACAGGGAGATTTTTTGACTATGCTGGGGTTAGGTACCTCTAACTCCTGCATTGTTTAAGGATCAACTGTATAGGGGTGCCTGGGTGGCTCAGTTGGTTAAGTGTCTGACTTGGGCTCAGATCATGATCTTATGGTTCATGGGTTCAGGAGCCTGGAGCCTGCTTCGGATTCTGTGTCTCCCTCTCTTTGCCCCTCCCTTGCTTACACTCTGTCTCTCCAAAATAAATAAACATTAAAATAAAAGAATCAACTTATATAAGTAATTTATACCAACTATATTATATTTATGTTTATATCCTATTTCCTTTCCCAAAGGAACCATAATTTACTATTCTTGTGAAAATATTGAGACAGGGTTTTTTTGTGGGTATCTATATACCAATATATGACACACAAATTAATATTTTTATTTTCCATAAAATATCATAAATTATTTTACAAATTGACTTCTCCCTCTGCCCCAATAATATCTCATGGACTCCTTTTCATATTGCTCTATTCTTACGATGGCTACATTTTTATTCATTCATAAAGAAATTTCATAATTTATTAAACATTTCTTTAAAAATTTTTTTAATGTTTTATTTATTTTTGAGAGAGAGAGACAGTGTGAGCAGGAGAGGGACAGAAAGAGAGGGAGACACAGAATCTGAAGACAGGCTCCAGGCTCTGAGCTAGCTATCAGCACAGAGCCCGATGCGGGGCTCGAACCCACAAATCGGAAGATCATGACCTGAGCCTAAGCTGGACGCTTAACTGACTGAGCCACCCAGGCGCCCCTAAACATTTCTTTTTTAACAGACTTTTGCATTGTTTCTCATCTGTGTATATGCACATGTGCTTGTGTGTATGCATGTGTGTGTGGGAACACAGATTTATAATTACATGCTAGCAGAGGTTGGCATGATATTTAGAGTGGATTATTCAAATTTTGGAGTTAAGTAGGATCTATTTCTGGGATGGAACGTTCAAAATTTTGCAGACTGCTGCTGAATATTTCTTTAAAAAGTATAATTTTATACTTTCACCCACAGTCTATAAGACTTTGATCTAATCTCTAATGAGAAATTTGAAGACTAAATGTTGTGAGAATGAATATAAGCAAAATATTCACGGGGGGAACATAGCTCAGCAAACATTTAGGTACCTGATATGTGCTATAAAAAAGGCTGAGATAAAGAATATGAACTTTGCTTTCATGAAACGTATAGCCAGAAGATACATTTAAGCATGAAGGTACCTGAAATCCTAACTTGAAAGTAAAGGTCAAAGAGATGACACAAAGAGCTATATGTATTTTCACTTCTTAGAGATTTCCTGAAGTTTTACAGGGTACCTGCCACATAGTGCTTTTGTAGGACTAAAGTGCTTATTAAGATGGATAATGGCCATGTAAACAAATAAAAGTAATTAGAGTCAAATGTGTATAAGACAGTGTTTTGTTCATAAAGTATATAATATTGCTTAGGACTGTTTTGTGAAACAATTTTATCAGTTAGCCATTTTTCTTTGTTGCAATATAGGATGAAAGAGAGGGACCTATCAATGCTGAATTATTGGAAAAAGTGGGTTCAAACTTACCTATTCCCCCAGAAGAACATAAATTAAAAGATGACTATGCTGTGGATGTACAAGTAAGCGATGTTGCTTTGATTTTTATGATCTGTCTTTTAAAACTACGTTGCAAGATAGAAAATTTCCGTTTGGTCACCGTATTGTGTTATTTTTTTTTTCTTTTTGAACGACTGTCATGCAATGGTCACAAAATTACAGATTTAATAATAATGTGACCATTTTCTTTGTAGTGAAAGTTTGGGTCTAAGTTCTCATTTCCTTTTATGTTCCATTTTGGCTCACTATAATGTATCTTTGTTTCTTTAGATTTTTAGATGTCAGGAAATTTTTTCTAACTTAAAACAAAAGGAAGTATTTGTATATAAAACAAAGAGTGTTTTGATACCAAATTTTAGTCACTCAGTGTGGAATATGAATTAATTATAGGTTAAAATATGTTTTCCCTTTTCCTCTTACATTACATCCTGAATAATTATTTTCTGTTTTATAGACCAGATTTTATGAAAGGTATAAAAAACTAGACCAGAATATAAGCTGACCAGAATGCTGAAGCATCTGGAACCCATTTAATATCAAGAATAGCTGAAGGAACTAGGGATATTTGATCTGGAGGAAGGACTAAGGAAAAATTAAGTATCTCAAGTAGTAACAAAAACAAACTTCAGGTCAAATGGGGGAGAATTCTTTTTTTTTTTTTAATACAATTAGAGCTATTTTATGACTCAGTTGGGCTATCTAAGTACAAATAGTGTTTCATTTTATTGGGTTGCGGAAGATATTTGTCAAATGTTTATACAGTAGAGTAAGAAAGTGTTCTCTGTAGCCCTTCTAGTTATATGACTATTCCTGAACAGTTCTGCCATTGTTCAGTCTCTAGAATTTTTATCATGGTGTAGTCCTGCTCAAATACTTTGAAGTGCTTGCTGCATCTTAAAGACCTGTGCTGTTCAATAGAGTCGCCACACGTGGCTATTGAGCACTGGAAATGCAACCAGACCACATTGAGACTTGCTATAAATACATACTAGATTGTGGAGACTTTGTTAAAAAAAAGTATAAAATATCTCATTAATTTTTTTACATTGAATACATATTAAAATGATAATGTTAATATTCCTTTTCTCAAGGCCTCCACCATAAAATACAAACTATTTGTATTCTTTATGAATTTTTCATTTCAGTGTAAATAATTCCCCAAATGGTCATATTTTGTATTCTTTGGACTCTATACCTTGTGTTTTCTTTCTGCTCCCATATTAGGTCCTCTTTTTCTTCATAGTCCTCTTTCTTCCAGTCCATAGTTTCTGTTTTCTTTGAGCTGAGCTGGAGTATCTCTCACTTTAATAAGCATTAAAGGTCTACTGCGTGCTAGGGAACATGAAGATCAAAAGAACATAGTTTTACTCAAGATATTTATAGTATACTTGAAGAAGAAGAGACATAAATGAGGCAATTGAGGTGTTCTAGATGCTGTATAGATTAACCCTATACAGAGAACAGTGGAGACAAAGAGGAAAGGGAAAGGCCAATTCTATTTAGCTTTGGTTGTGGGAGAGAATGTGCTGATAGAGGTTTAAAATATGAGTGATATTAGGTAGATTTCAGATTGTGTTTTGGAGGGGTCAATGGCCCAGAGCATCCAGGACTGAAGAAGCAGTGAGAATCATGAAATGCATTGTAATGTTACTTGTACATGCTCCGTGTTATTCTTTATTTATGCACATTATCTTCTAAACTGCTCTGGGGCAAGAAGTAATTGTTGTACTATTTTTCATATTTACATATGATTTCTGTGTTGCTGCTAGCATTAATTATGGTAAGAGAGAAATCTATATGGGTCCTGACAGAAAATAGGAAAGAAGAAAGACAAGTTTCTCTGTCCTAGTTTGTGAAATGCTGGGAAAAATGGTTAGTAGAGCCTGTATTTTAATATGAAGTGTATCCTTGGGGGTAATGTTAGAAGAAAGGATTTTTATAAAACTACATTCTTGGTACTGTCACTTTTGAGACATACTTTTATAAAATCCTGTGTAGCTAAAGAGATAATTTATTAACCTCCACATTTAATGTAACTTTTTTTTTTTTTTTAACAGAATACAGAGTTAAAAAAGTTCAGTCCATCTGTGACTGAGACACTCCCTCCAGTTGATCTACATGAAGATTCTTCCAGTGTAATTGTGGGCAGTGAAAACATTGAAAATATTTCCAGCTCATCTACCTCAGAGATCACTCCAATCTCAAAGCTTGAGTAAGTCATTACAAAGAAAAAAAGAGTATCTCATTAGATTAATGATGGAAAAATGTCTTTATCACATAAGGCAGCTTGAAACTTGGATTTGAAGTTTAGGCTATGTAGCAGACCCAAGTTATGATGCCTGTGTTTTGCATAATGATTTTATTTTAATGTAATGATCTTATGATATAACCAGTATTTATTCTGCTTCCAAACTCAGTGAAGTAGATCCTAGCCATGAAATCTACTTGAGGTTCTACTTGTTTAAGTAACTGCTTATTTGAGTAATCTTCCTTATAATTATCAAAGATTCAAATGTCAGAGGGGCGCCTGGGTGGCTTAGTCGGTTAAGCGTCCGACTTTCGCTTAGGTCATGATCTCGCGGTTCGTGGGTTCGAGCCCCGCGTCGGGCTCTGTGCTGACTGCCAGCTCAGAGCCTGGAGCCTGTTTCAGAGTCTGTATCTCCCTCTCTCTCTGACCCTCCCCTGTTCACGCTGTCTCTCTCTATCCTATAAATAAATAAAAATATTAAAAAAAAAATGTCAGATTACTCACTCCCATCAAGTATTACATTCATAGTTCTGTCTTTTTGTGAATAGCTCCCTTGTTCAGACTTGATAAATGCTCAGAATTTGTAGGTCTAAGGTTTCCTTAACTTTAGAAAATCGATTATGTACTCTTCTAGTTCCTTATAGCAACACTCCAAAAAACAAATTCTCTTCATACTGCATTAGTCATTTCCTATATCAAATGAGTTAATATATATTAAAAAATGGATAGGGTAATATCTGGCACATAGTAAGAATATATGTGTCGGTATTATTATCATTACAACTTTTTTTAAACTACAGGTACTTTTTTTTATTAAAAATTTTTTTTTAAAATTTTAATGTTTGTTTATATGTGAGAGAGAGAGAGTGTGAGCAGGGGAGGGGCAGAGAGCTGAGACAGAATCTGAAGCAGACTCCAGGCTCCAAGCTCTAAACTATCAGCACAGAGTCCAACATGTGGCTCAAACCCCCGAGCAGTGAAATTATAACCTTAGCCAAAGTAGGACACACAACTGACTGAGCCACCCAGGCGCCATCCCCTCCCCCGCAAATGTTTTTTATTTTTATTTACTCTTGAGAGAGAGAGAGGGAGAGACAGAGTGTGAGTGGGGGAGGAGCAGAGAGAGAGGGAGACAGAATCTGAAGCATGCTCCACTGAGCTGTCAGCACAGAGCCCAACGTGGGGCTCCAACTCATGAACTGTGAGATTGACCTGAGCCAAAGTCAGATACTTAACCAACTGAGCCACCCAGGCACCCCCTCAACCCCCCAGTGCTTTTTAAACACGTACTCTTCTCAAGAATGTAAGGGCCTGGGTGATGGAATTTTACTCAAAGATGTTAGAGTTGCCATTTAGGTGTTTATACTAGTTAAGGAAGAAACAAGACAAGCTTAGAAATAATGACAGTATTTAAGTGACTGAGCCACTCAGGCACCCCATAATGATAGTATTTAAAAATATTTATTCCAGAAAGAATTTAAGGCTAAATATTATATATATGGACAGTGCATCTTATTTTCCCTTTATCCTGAACATGACTGCTTCGTGAATTGGAAGTGAGTAGCAGAAAATATTAGGGTATGTGTTTTTTAAAATGAAATTCTAAAAGTGTCTTAAGAACTTCAGTGAAATGAATAGAGATAATAGATTGTTTTTTGATACTATAGGCAACAAGTCTAATATTGGTAAAATATACCAACAGAAAGGACCCATTAGAGAAGATGCAGTTAAAATAAATAATTTTAAAATCTTACTTTTTTATGAGACCAAACACTAACCTATATATTTTGTTTTAAAATTTGGTAATTAGCTATTTAGAGGCCAAGGCATTAACAGATGAAGAGTCAGAACTAGCCACAAAAATTCCTGTCTTTAAAAAAAACCCAAAAGAACAAAAGCCAGTGGTTGACTTTACATGATTTGAAATAAGTGAACTCTTAAAAACAGCCTGCAGAACTGTAAAGCATTCTCCTCTGTCTTGGCTCATGTTTGAAAATCACTAGTATAATTTTTAACTTATGCCACGTTATGTTCATTGAATTGCCAGATTGTATTTTTTGTTTCTATTTTTAGTGAAATAGAAAAATCTGGTACTATTGCTGTAACCAAGCCAAGTGAAACTGAGCAGTCTGAAACTGATTGTGATGTTGGTGAGGTTCTTGATGAGAATGCTCCAGTTGACCAGCCTTCCTTTGTTAGTCCTCCTGAAAGGTGGGTGTGAGCCATTGTTGGCCCTTTGTGTTTAATTCTGTAATCACAGCAGTGTCCTGTTTGAAAGGACTTTGGTGCATACTTAATTCCACTTTATGACTGAGAGAAAGCTAACCCCTTTGTGCTCCTTCCTTTATTTACTTTTTACATGATAGTTTTAACAGATTAGATTGCATAAACTTGTTATTCAGCTGAAATTTTTTAATACGTCTTTTTGGTTTCAAATAGCCTTGTTGGCCAGCATATAGAAAATGTGTCATCTTCACATGGCAAAGGAAAAATAACAAAATCAGAATTTGAATCAAAGGTTTCAGCAAGTGATCAGGGGAGTGGTGATCCAAAGTCTGCATTGAATGCTTCAGATAACTTAAAAAATGAGGTAGGTATATAAAGTTGCACTGTTTTCTACTTTATTATATGTATTTTTATTATTTGTTAATCTTGCAAATTGCTAACCATATTTGCTGTAAAATCAGGGATTATGTAGTTAATGAGGAATATGGAACTGAGGTGAGCTGTGCTCACTGAGAGCAGGTGGTTACTTCCCAAGTAATATTGCCAGTATATTTTTTATACATGAAGTTGTTTCAAATGTGAACTGTCTTTGGTATTTTATAATTAAGTGGTTTTCTGCTACCATCAACTGTTTGATGCCAGATATATAAAGTCCTTATTTAAGCATTTTCTTGGAGAGCTATGTAGAAGGTATAATTATTAAAATCAGGTGTCTTCAGAATATAAGCTTAACTCCATTACAGTATTAAATTTAGGCTTTTCAACCAGAATCATGAAAAAACATTTTTTTTATGTTTATTTACTTTTTGAGAGAGAGAGAGTGTGTGTTTGTGCATAAGCAGGGGAGGGACAGAGAGAGAGGGAGACACAGAATCTGAAGCAGGCTCCAGGCTCTGAGGTGTCAGCACAGAGCCCAACGTGGAGCTCGAACTCATGAACCATTAGATCATGACCTGAGCCGAAGTCGAACACTTAACCAACTGAGCCACCCAGGTACCCATAAAAGGGTATAATTTTTAACTATTATTTACCTCCTATATAAATTAATATCCTAGAAAAAAGTGTCTCAGCTAGGTAAATTTTTATAAATTGTTGAAAGTAGGTTTTAATTTAATTTTTAAATTAAGTTTGTGGTAATACTAGTTATTTAATCTTACTTTCTACTATATATATTTTTAATAGCCACACATTTTATTAGTCATTTAGCTTGTTCTGCAAAGCACTCCAACATGGAGGTTGTATGGGAGCCAATTGTTAAGTCTTCCTAGAGGGAGATTATGGGTATTTGTATTAGTGTAATTCTAATATTCTAGTGTCAGTTCTTAAAAGTTTGCTTTAATATGGTGAATATTAGTGAAAATAGGCCCTATACCATATAGCACGTGTGAACTATATGAGACTTGTGCTATTTGCCAGAGTAAGCTGTCTATATAGATATTGTACACTTCTCTAGGAACTGTTTATAAATATGTTATGCATTGTTTTAGGAATACAGAAATAAATAATGGAATGAACATCCTTGCATACATTACTCAACTTATGGAAAAATAATTGCAAATTGAATTGTTTGCCTTTCCACAGTTATATTTTTTCTCTTCAGATAGAACACTTATCTTAAATTCAGCGTGTGTGTGTAAGAATGTGTTTTTAAACTTTTCCAAAACTGTATTATTATAAACAATACAGACTATTAGTTGGCATATTTTGAAGCAGTGTAAAATGGTATTATTCTTGTCTTAAGTATCATTTGACTCAATGTTGTTTTGAGATTTGTCTTTCAATTGTTTTCACTGTTGTATTTCACTATCACAGTTTATCTTTTCTTCAATTTGTGGATTTTTAGGTCGTTTCTAATTTTTGGATATTACAAACAGTGCTGCTATAAGCATTCTCATGCATACTTTCTTAGGCACATTTGCGTGTTTTCACTGATATTTATACATAGGAGCGGAATTATTGGGTCATAGTATATGCACATCTTTAGTTAATATTGCTAAACATTTTTTTAAGTTTATTTTTTTAAATGTTTGTTTATTCTTGAGAGAGAAAGACAGAGTGTGAGGAGGGGAGGGGCAGAGAGAGATACACACACAGAATCCAAAGCAGGCTCCAGGCTCTGAGCTGTCAGCACAGAGCCCGACATGGGCTTGAACCCACAAACTGTGAGATCATGACCTGAGCTGAAGTCAGACGCTTAACCCACTGAGTCACCCAGGCGCCCCAAATTTTAAAATTTTAATCCAGCCAGATGTATCAGCCCTTTTTTAAATGATTTATTCTTTCTTCATCATGTTAAATCCTTTTATATTTGAAGATTTTTCTATAGTTTCTTTAAAAGGCTTTGTTTTTCTTTAGATTTTTTGTGTTTTAAATCTAAAATTTTTATGTGAGTGGTAGTTCTTGTAAGGGTGTTTTAGAAACAACATGTTATATCGAAAATTAGCTTTCTTTAATGCATATCTTATTTTAACTTAGAATTTAAGGTGAATGCGTCACAACTATAGTACTTATTAACTGGTACAGTTTATATATAAGTAATTGTTTGCTTAGGATATAATATAAAGTTTTTATAGCCTAGCTTATATTGCTGACATGTGAAGAAATACATCTTGTGGTGCTAAGGTAAAAGATTTCTGGTTTTTTCAAGAGAAATTCAACTTTTAAGTAAACCAAAACAATTTTTTTATATTTTTATTTTTTTGAGATATTATCTATCAAATATAAAATTGGACTTTAATTTCACCAAAACATTTGTATATACTTTTATGACTTATTAATGTTTTTTATGTATTCTTTTGCATTTTTTTCAGAGTTCTGATTATACAAAATCAGGGGAAATTGACCATACTTCTGTAACAAGTCCCAAAGACCCAGAAGATATACCAACATTTGATGAATGGAAGAAGAAAGTTATGGAAGTAGAAAAAGAAAAAAGTATGGAAGCACAGTGATTCCTGTTTTCTTTTGAAGGGGGGAGGATTGGTTTAAATATGCATTTCTCTCTACAGTCAGTAAACTAAAGCTTTTGAAAGCTTTTTTAAGTTGAAATTTAACAAGATACTGTTGGTTTCATATATATAATTTACCTGTGTATAATTATATAGTTTTAATCTTAATTAAAACCTATTCTTGTAAATTATTAAATGAAGGTAAAAGGAGATAAGGTAGTCAGAGCAGTGGTGCTTATTTCAATTTATAAGGAAATTTGAGGCATGGAAACTTAAAAAAAATTTTTTTTTTATGTTTTATTTATTCTGAGAGAAAGAGAGACAGCATGAACAGGGGAGGGTCAGAGAGAGAGGGAAATACAGAATCTGAAACAGGCACCAGGCTCTGAGCTAGCTGTCAGTGCAGAGCCCAGTGTGGGGCTCGAACCCATGAACCGTGAGATCATGACCTGAGCCGAAGTTGGACGCTTAACCGACTGAGCCACCCAGGCGCCAGGCATGGAAACTTTTGAGTTACAAAGCTTTAAACTGTAAGTAGAGTTGGACTAAGGTATTACACTTCCTTTTGGTTACTGTAGAGAAAGTCTCAGAGTTAAAAATTCTTTTTTTTTTTTTTTTTTTATATTTTTATTTATTTCTAGGAGAGAGAGACAGTGTGAGCAGGGGAGGGTCAGAGAGAGAGGGAGATACAGACTCTGAAATAGGCTCCAGGCTCTGAGCTGGCAGTCAGCACAGAGCCCGACGCGGGGCTCGAACCCACGAACCGCGAGATCATGACCTAAGCGAAAGTCGGACGCTTAACCGACTAAGCCACCCAGGCGCCCCTCAGAGTTAAAAATTCTTAATGTTAGAGCTAAAAGGACAACAATCATCCTTAGTAAAATATATATGCAGAATATTTTGATTCTCATGGATAAGTTTCATTTTGAGGGTAGACATAAATCAAGTAATGTGAATTTTTGTAATTTGTATTGAAGTAAAGCATTTTGAATTGCTTAATGGGTTTTTAAAATATTCTCTTAAGCATTAAAACCTGGTCTTCACTAGACAGCAGCCTGTTGCTTTTGTAATCAGTTTGCTGGGAGGGAGTATTTTTAATCATAATTATCATATATATATATATGTTTATAATAAGCTTTGTCTGCAGGTCAGTCAATGCACCCATCTTCTAATGGAGGTCTACATGCGACAAAAAAAGTCCAGAAAAATCGAAATAATTATGCCTCAGTAGAATGTGGTGCCAAAATTTTGGCAGCTAATCCAGAAGCCAAGGTACTTAACTATAAAATTCTTTTATATAGGAAACTAGTAACTTGATTAAATAAAGGCAGTGGTTTGCTCAGAAATATCTATGTATCTATATCTATATATTTTTTTTGCTGAGAACTATATTTTAACATGAGCTATTTTTCTGATTCAGTAATAAATGCAGGATTATACTTTTAAAGACATTTTCTTGTATGAATTATGTTGGTTGATACATTATACTCTTTTTTTCTTTCAAAGACTATTTTTAGAGCAGTTATAGGTTCACAGCAAAATTGAAAGAAAGTGATTTCTCATATACTCCTACACCCACACATGTGTAGCCTCCTTATCAACATACCTCCCACCAGAGTGAAGCATTTGCTACAGTTGATTAGTTTACACTGATACATTATCAGCTGAAGTCCATAGTTTACCCTGGAGTTCACTTTTACCATATATATAGTCTTTGGGTTTGGACAAATGTATAATGACATGTACCCACCATTATAGTATCATGCAGGGTATTTTTACTGCCCTGAAAATCCTCTGTGCTCTACCCATCATTCCTCCCTCTCCTCAGCTCCTGGCAACCACCAGTCTTGGTCTTTTTGCTATCTCCATAGTTCTGTCTTTTCCAGAATGTTCTGTAGTTGGAATCATACCGTTATGTAACCTTTTCAGATTGGCTTCACATTTCTAGCGCTGAATAATATTCTGTTGTCTGGATGTGCCACAGTTTCTGTTCATCTACTGAAGGGCATTCATCTTATCTTTTAACTTTTAAACCTATTTGAGATTTTAAAAAGGAAATAGCTAATAGAAAATCATTTTTCCTTTATGGTAACATTTAGTTTTAAATATCATAAGGCTAACTTAACACTGTAGACATAACTGGTAAACTTTAGTCATTTTTATGCCTTCTTCTCAAATGAATGTTTTAGAATCTTAGTATTTGAAGATCTAAACATAGAAATCCTAGAAGTCTTTAGAGTTGAAATATTTTTCCTTAAGTAATTTATTCCCTTCCCCCCTTTTAAAATAGAGCACATCTGCTATTCTTATAGAAAATATGGATCTTTATATGTTGAATCCTTGCAGCACTAAAATTTGGTAAGTAATATAAAATTTAATAAAGTGCATTCATTCTATGTATGTACGTATTATGGTAAGGTTTTATGTTAGGATTAGATTAATTTGTTCATGTAGTCACTTAAAAAGCATTTATGATTGGCAGGTGATGGTACTGTAATTACCTTAGGTCCTGGGATATAGAATTGAAGATAAAATGCCTTTCACACCCACACACAAAAGAGAAGTCTAGTCAAACAATTATGAAATAGTATAAAAAGTATTGCTGAAAGGTTATTATAGGAACAGAGATAATATATACCTGTGAGAGAGGATGAGAGGGTTTCCTAGAAGAGGTAATTCCTGTAAGAATAAGGAGACATGCTTAAAGGAGCTCGCTCGCTCCTTCCTTCCTTCCTTCCTTCCTTCCTTCCTTCCTTCCTTCCTTCCTTCCTTCCTTCCTTCCTTTTCTTTCTTTCTTAGCGCACATGCCAAGTGCGTATGAGTGACAGAGGGAAAATCTTAAGCAGGCTTAAGACTCCATGGCAGAGGCCGACACGGGGCTTGGTCCCATGACCCTGGGATCGTGACCTGAGACAACAAGAGTTGGAAGCTCAGACGATTTTTTTAAAATGTTTGTTTATTTTGAGAGACAGAGCATGAGCAGGGGAGGGTCAGAGAGAGGGAGACACAGAATCTGAAGCAAGCTCTAGGCTCTGAGTTGTGAGCACAGAGCCCGATGTATGTGGGGCTTGAACTCATAAACCGCGAGATCATGACCTGAGTTAAGTTGGACACTTACTAGCTGAGCCACCCAGGCGCCCCAAAATTTTTCTGAAGTTTATTAAAGACCATGGAGGGCTGTGTTTGTTTAACATAAGGAAGTGACATAATCTCACTGGTGTTTTAAGAAGGCTTGTCCTCCAAGCAGAATGCAGTTGGGAACACAGAAACCAGTTAGGAGCCTGCTTTAATTAAGGCATTGGTAGTTTAGATACAGAAGAGAGGGGGATATGAAAGATATAGCAGAGAAAACTGGCAGCTCCTGGTTAGTAATTGGATGTGGAGGGAGTTATTTTGGAAATCTCCTAGGATTTTAACTCTACTACTTGGATCTATTATTTTGCCGTTATCTAAGAACAAAGGCAAAGAAACAGATTTATGGGGGAGTGGGGGGAAGGTGTGATATGCCAATAGTTTAATTAGATTTTTCAATTTAATTGATCAAAAGCAGCTGTTCAAAAAAGAATGGAGATAAATCACCATCGTACTGATTTACTAGAAATATATTAATTTTTTTCTTATTTTAAGGAAAAACTAAACTTAAATAGATAGTGCTTATTTTCTACCCTTGGCCTTCACTCCTTTTGGTACATTTAGGTTTGTTTTGAAAATGAACACCAAATTATTAAAGTGTATTAAGAGATAATTTAAAAACTCATTTTTCTTTGTGTCATATATTAGATTTCAAGAAATGATTATCTGCGATTATAATTAAAATGTTATTTGGGTTTTTTTTTTTTGTAAGATCCTTTGTAGTCAGTAATAGCTCAAGTGTTTATTGAGCTATTTTGAGGTCCAAAATTTTAAATTTCAAGCAAAGACATGCTGGGATGAAGTTGTATGAAGTAGTCATAGCTACCCATTGTATTTTAATGTTTCTGCCAGACAGCATGTATTTAGGTATATGTATATATTGCGTATTTAGTGTTTGCTCATTTACATATGTGTCTTTTCATTGTATAATTGAACTTTAGAACACCTTTAACTGGTTTCACCTGAATTATTCCTCCTAAGGTGTATTAAGACTACACAGTCTCAACTATAGTTTTATAAGTCTGAATATCTGGTAGAATAAGTTTAAACCTCATCTTCATCAAAAGTTTTTTCACTGTTCTTGTCTCTTTGTTTTCTCTTTTAAAATTTAGAGTCATCTTCTTGAGTTCTGTAAAAAATGCTGGCATTTTTATTGGAATTGTATCAAATCTATAGATGAATTAAAGAATAATTGGCATTCTAGGATTTTGAGTCTTTTTATTCATTCATTCATTCGATGTTTATTGAGCATGTTAGGTTGAACATGTTAAGTGATGCTGTTGGTTCTGGAATAACATTGTTTCACAAAATAGACTGGGATCTCTGCTGTTGTGGAGCTTTTATCCTAGAAAGATGTCGGTCCCTGATCACCAATGAGATTGAGCATATTTTCATGTACTAGTTTTTTCTCTCCTCTGACATGCTGATCTTGTCCTATGTTTTCTATTGATAAACTTTTTTTTTTAAACTGGTTAGTAGAAGTCTAACTAAACAGTTTATCTTATAAAATGGATACAATGTAACATTTTTATTTTAACTCTGGATAGAACATATAAATTATACATGTTGCACATATTTTCTCTAGTTTATGAATTAGCCTTTCAGTTTTTTATTAGTGTCTTTTGATGAATAGAAACTATTTTAATTTTGATATAGTTGAACTTACTGCCTTACAATTTTGGATTTGTTAAATGTTAGATATCTTTGTCATAAAAAAGATAACTCAGAATTTAAAAGTTCTACAAATACTTTGTATTTGCCTTTTACATTTAGGTTTTTAATCCCAGTTGGATTTTTTTTTTATATAGTATAGAGAAGGGATTCACTCTTCCCTCCCCATTTTGCTGTTTAGATGATTGTTTATTTTCTAGTTCACACTTTTTCCTCTGATTTACAATGTACTTTATCACAAAGTTTCCTTCTAAGTCTGGGTTTGTTTCTCTGTTCCCTGTTCTGTTCCATTGACCAATTTATCAATACCTGCCGCAACGCCACACTTCCTTTAGCTTTATGGATCCCAGTATCTGGTAGGGCAAGCTTTTGCCTCATATTCTTCAGGACTGATTGGTTATCCTTCTGCTCTGCTTTTTCTTATAAATCTTAGACTTACCCTGTTGAGTTCCCCAAATGTCATGTCAAATTTTGTTTGGAATTTTATTGAATCTTTAGATGACTCAGACTTTCAGTTTTCTTACCCATAAATAGGACATTTTTTTCTTTGTCTCTTAATGTCTTTCAGTAAGATTATTTTTTAAAATTTTTACAGAGGTATATTTTTTCTTAAATTCATTTCTGGGCATATTTTTTGTTGCTATTGTAAATATATCTTCAACATTACACTTTGTTGTGTATAGATGTCCAGGTTTTTATATATGGATCTTATATCCAGCTACCTTTTTATATTCTATTTTTTCTAATAATATGTGGATTATTCTTTGGGATTTCTGTGTAGAAAATTATAGGTTCCCTGCAAATTTTTCTTCTTTAAAATTTTTTTTTAATCCTTTTCATTGTATTTTACTTTCTTTTGTTTTCACATGCTGGCAAGTTTCTTAAGAAAATCATGAATAGAAAGATAGTAGGCAATGTCCTCTTACTCCTTATTTTGAAGGCATTGCTTCTAACCTTGTACCATTAGGTACACAGTACGTTTGGAACTCAACTATAAACCCATCTGGGCCTATGGGAAGATACTAATTTTCTTTTAAGTGTGTAATTTGAAAACTAAGTAATGCATTCATGTGGTTCAAACCCAAAAAGGGTAAAGGAAAGGAGTGACAGTGAGAAAAATCCTTCCAATCTCTGTCATCCATCTTATTCAGTGTTAACAGTTTTTAGATCTCTTTCAGTTTCTTTATGCAAATATAGACAAATATATACAAATACAGATTTTTATTGAGCTCCCTGTTTTCACAGAACATAATATATTATACACACTATTTGTCACTTTTGAGTTGTTTTAACTAATACTAGGTCATCTTTCTATTTTGATCATAGAAAACCTTTTCATTCTTTTTGATAGCTGTATAAAATTTTATTCTCTGGTTGTATTTAACTAGTCAAACTAGATTTAAATAGTCTTCTGATGTTGGATATATGGGTTGTTTATAATCTTTTGCCATGGCAGTGTCACTATACATAAGCTGTACATGTACAATTTTGTATTGGTTGAGTAGATGGCAACAGCTTTCAACTACATTTAAAACAAATGGTTATATGACTAGGTTTTCTATTTATTCCTGAATTAGTTTTGGTAAATTATACTTTCCTAGGGATTGGTCTAATCCATTTTTAAAGTTTTTATATAAAGTTGTTTGTAGTTATTTGTATTCGTATTGCTTAAAATCTTTTTAAAATCCTAATACTTTACTTTATGCCTCCTATTTAATCCCCACAGTCCATTTTGACTTTATTGATTCCTTCTATCATTTTATTTTTTCCTATTTTATGGATTTCTGTTTGAAACTTTATATTTTTTTAAGCTTAGTCTCTTGAACTTAAATTTTTTTTTGAGATATACACATTTAAGTTTATAAACTTTCTTCTTAATTATATCAACTAAATCTTGATACATGATGTTTTATCACACTGCTTTTGTGTTTAGATCCCTGATCTTTTATTTTTGTTTTTTTAATTTTTCTTTCTTAGACCTCAGGTCTTTTAAAACTCCTGACCTGTAAACAATTAAAAGAAGCATGTTAAAATTCGATTTGTCAACTTTTATATGTAATTCTGTTAATTTGCACAGAATATTCTCTGCTTCTAAGAAAATGTAAAAGATGAGGTGGAAAAATGAAAAAGCATTTTAAAATCAACTCAGGAATATTTGCATACCTACTTACATTTTATGTATCATGATACTGTTTATTAGGTGCATACAATTTTTGAATTGTTAAATTTTGGTGAATTTACTTTTTTTTTTTTTTTGATGTGTATTTATTTTGAAGGAGAGAAAGACAGAGCATGAGCAGGGGAGAGAGAAGGAGACACAGAATCCAAAGCAGACTCCAGACTCTGAGCTGTCAGCACAGAGCCTGATGTGGGGCTCAAACTCACAAATTTGAGATCATGACCTGAGCTGAAGTTGGACTTTTACCTGGCTGAGCCACTCAGGCGCCCCTTTATAAATTTTTTTTAATGTTTATTTTTGAAGGAGAGAAAGAACGTGAGTGGGGGAGGAGTAGAGACGGAGGGGGTGAGACACAGAATCTGAAGCAGTGAATTTACTTTTTATACCTGGTAATAGATTTGTTTGAAAGCTTGTTTTTCTGATATTAATATAGCTCATGTCTTCTTAGAAGTGGAGAACATTGTATGCAAAAGAAGGAAGTGGGGGATAATTAGCTTTTTATTTTTTCTTAATGCTCTTTTAGATTTAATTTTCTTCATTATAACTCACAAGCAAAGTCTGAGTTTGATTTTCTTTATTTTCCTCTCCCAAGGTTGTTTTAGTGGTATGGGAAATGTTTAGGCTTTGGAACCAGGTGGGTTTTGACTTTTAGCTTCACTGCTTATTGGCTGAATGACTGTTAGGGCTTTTGATTCTGCTGCTTTAACAGCGACCATAGAACTGCGGTTTAAATAGGATAGAGATTTAATTTTCTTTGATGTAAAAGCTCAAGCTAGTAGGTAGTGCAGGGGTGTAACAGAACAATTCAAGGACCCACACATCTTCTGTCATGTTCCTTTGCCTCCCCTACAGGTGTTGACCTTGCCTGGGTTGCTGAAATAATTTATTCCTCCCACATTCTCATTATAGCCTGTAAGGTGGGAGAAAGCAAATGGAGAAGTAGCAGCTCCCGTTTAAAGGCTTGACCTGGAAATTGCACTTGACATCTCTGCTCACAGCCCATCATCCAGAACTATGGATAGCCAAGACTAAGAAATACAGTCTTTGATGGGTGGCCATAAAAGCTCAGCTACATCTGGGAGGCGGGAGGGGTTCTTATTAAAAGATAGAAGAGAAGAATGTGAAGTAACCAATTAGTGTTTATTGAATTATTTTATAAAATGGAGATAATCTTTGCAGTGTAGTTGTAAGAATTAAATCAAAGGATGGATATAAATCATCTAACATAGTATCTGACCCAGAGCAAGCATTCAACAAGTGTTAGTTTGCTTCTCTTTTCATGAGCTTTTCTCTGAAACCTGATTGTTTTTGTCATTTCCTGGAAATTGGCTCTGTTGCTTTCTTATAAACACAATATATTAATTTTAATGCTTTTGATTTATTTCATTGTCAGTATATATATTATCATTTGGTATAGTAATTACTTTATGAAAGTACTGATTACAGTGCTAGATGTCATGAGTACTTCTTTTCCCCCAATGCTACACCGTAGGTAGTTTTATTTTATACACATCGTACCATACTTTTAATTTTTCCTAAGTAGCAGTATTTTATGGCCTTCTTCCATGTTGATAGATACAGGTCACTAGCATCATTTTTAAAGAGTAGCTTTATTGAAACATAATTGATATAAAAATACATATACACACGTAAAATGAACTGCAACATGTCAAAATATACAACTTGATAACTTTTGACATTTATACATCTATGAAACTATCACCACAATAAAAATAATGCACACATCCGCCTTCCTAAAAAGTTGTCTCATGCTCCTTTGTAACTTTTCCTTCCTAACCTCTGCCCCCTACAGTAATTAAAGATCAGTTTTCTATCGCTATAAATTAGTTTATATTCTCTAGCTTTTTATATCAATGGAATGTATAGTTTCTAGTACTATTTTTAATGTCTGTTGGTATTTCATTGTTTGGGTGGACCATACTTGAATCCTCTATGCTAAACATCTAGGTTGACTTTTTCCCCCTGCTTTTATAAACTGTGCCTTGCTAGGTTACACTGTACATATATACAGGGGTGAGTATTTGGAGCTTTGTGTCCTCAGGATAGATTTCTAAAAGTTTATGGCTAGATCAAAGGCTGTGATACCCTTTGAAACCATGTATATGCCAAACTGCCCTCTAGATTAGTCAGTTTACACTATTACTGTCCTTCATGAAGTCATTCCTTCTCCAAGAAGTGCTTTGTCATTGAAATATTGTTATCAATATCTTGTGTTATTTATAGTCAATATAAATATCATGTGTTATTTATAGTTACCCTACCCCCCAACTAATAATATGCTTCGGAAATAATGAGTAACTTAGCGGAAGTCTACTTTATGCGAACTCTTCATGTTTAATATGAACTGTTATTTTGGTTGGTTTATTTCAGTAATTGTTTTGTGTTCTTTTTAAAGGTTTGTTATTGAACTTTGTGAACCAATTCAAGTAAAACAGCTTGATATTGCAAATTATGAATTATTTTCTTCTACTCCGAAAGACTTTCTGGTTTCTATCAGTGACAGGTAAATATTCTAAAACTGCCTTTGACAGAGTTTATGTTAGATCTCCAGAATAAAATTTTTTAAATGAGTCGCTTTCTTAAAAAACTTTAATTTTTTTTTATTTCAATGTATCAGTTTGTGAGAACAATACTACTATTGTAGTATTAGGCACTTGTGAATCAGGTTACTTTTATTAACTCATATAGTGTTTATAATCATCCTATGATATTATTCCTTTATAAGATGAAGAAACAGACAAGGAGAGGTTAAGTAGTTTGACTAGGTCACCTGACTTATTCACACCTAGATCTGTATGACTTCAAGGTCTGCATTATTTTGTTTTAAGTTTATTTGCTTTGAGTGAGTGAAAGAGTCCCAAGCAGGCTCCACTGTCATAGTACAGAGCCAGACAAGGGGCTCAAACCCAGGAAACGTGAGATTGTGACCTGAGCTGAAATCAAGAGTCAGACGCTTAATCTACTGAGCCCCAGATGCCCCCAGAGCCCTATTTTAAATTATAACCTGTTGCTGCCAAACATTTCTTTAAAAATTTATTGAAAACATTCATGAGTGCTTAATATCATGAAATCTATTTTTGTTAAGGTATATTTTAAAAATTTTGCGTTGTGTGTGATTATAAAAGAAAAAACATGTATTAAAAGGAATTTGGTAAAGAACTACAATCCAATCAACCAAAGATAACTTATTAGCATCTTAATATATTCCTTCCAGTCTTTTCTGTGTATTTATATATTTACTAATTGTGTTTTAAAAAAATGAGTTTTTACCACTTACTGATAAATATCCTTGTCTTTTAAACACACCATTTAAAATTATCTATTTATTTATTAAAGTATAATTAACATACAGTGTTGGATTAGTTTCAGGTGTACAACATATTGATTCAATAATTCTGTACATTAAATACACCATTTTTAATGAATAGTTTATATTTATCCCCCACTGGAGGATTTATTATTTATTTATTTATTTATTTGTTTATTCCATAAATACTTTATGAGTGTCCCCAATGTGACATGTAGGATGCTATTTACTTAAACATTCTTCTGTAGTTGATCATTAGTGGTTTTATTTTCTATGCTATTTCTTTTCCCATCTCACACTCAGCACTCCCTGTATACAGTTACTGAAATTAATTCATAATATCTCTTGAATTCCATCAGTTTTTCATCTAATAACCTTGCTCAGATCATTTCTTTTTCTCTAAGCTGCAATTATAAGAGCACTCATTACTTTTAGGGATTTTTTAAATGCTGCAATAAACAAAAATAATACCTTTAGGCTTTATGTTAGATTTCCTTTTAAAGAGGGGGGACAGCTGTGTAAGATCTGTGAAATTCCAGTCTAATGGTAAAGGATTTTTTCTGTTTCCCTTTCCACCAGTATTTTTACTTATACTTTATATCATTATGCCCTCGTCAGTGCCTCCTTCTTCCAAAATAATCACTTGGTTACTCTTTATTTTAAAACCTCCAGTTTACTTGGAAGCCCAAGAAACAGTTTTGGTCCTACTTTGTCTTCTCCTTTTCTTGCTTTCTGTTTGATGATAATGTGATTTTTAATAGTGTGATTTTCAAGATATTCTTCCCTTGTAGAGCGGTATCTGTCAGATTTTAGTTGGAAAACAAAACGTATTTATTCAACCCAATATTCTACACATATTTAAACTATGTTAAGAGAGTGTGTTTACCCAGAGAAGGGGGGAAAAAAAAAAAAACCAAACAGTATATTTTGAAGATGTGATTGAGCCTCTCAATATGTGGTTTATGGTTTTTTTTTCTTTTTTTGAAAATGTTTATATTTGTATTTCCTAGATATCCCACAAACAAGTGGATTAAGCTGGGTACTTTCCATGGTAGAGATGAGAGGAATGTCCAGAGTTTCCCTTTAGATGAACAGATGTATGCAAAATATGTGAAGGTAAAGTTTATATAGAGGACTGTGTTTTTTAATGAAAACATACCTGTTATTCATACTTTATTGTTCCTCACCCCACCTTTTTAGAAATCCTAAAACTTGAGGAAATGTAATGCAATATTCTTTTTGATAAAATTCTTATATTATTTTATGAGACAAATATTAATACATTCCCTTTTGTATAACTGGAAGCTGAGGCCAATATTTTGATATTTTCAGCTCTGAGAAGATTTAAAATTATTTAAAAAAATTATTGTGCTTAAGTCTTTATGTAAAATGTCATCTTCATAGTATCATATCTTTATTTCAAAGCCCAAATCATTGTTAGTCACTGAAGTCTTTAAGCAAGTCTGATTTTTTTTAATTAGAATCTGATTAAATTAGATTTAATCTAATAAATCTAATCCTTTTAATATCCAATGATTTGTCTTATTATAGCTTTTGCCTTTTCTATTGTATATTCAAGTGAACTATTCTGTGTCCAAATGCCAATTTCAAAGAAAGTAAACTTTTCAGAACACTTACATTCAGTATTCCTGCTGCTTCTTCCACAATGTAGAGGTGAAATTATCTACCGAATAGAATTACCATTCTTGAATTGGATTTTAGGCAAACTATGGGGATTTCCTAAACCTCTCTTCCTCTCTTTTTTTTTTTTTTTCTTTAAAATAATAGCACAACTTAAAGTACCCTTGTGTTTGTAATATGACCTTTTGGAATAACAACAGCTCTATTTTCTGTCTTTTCTTCCTTAAATGTGAGAACTTACAGCTACCTGATTGTCCTGTGGGATTTTACTCTCTGTATCTTTTTAAAGCATGTATTAAATTGGCTTCTATGAATGGGTAAACTTGTAGTATTCCTAGTCTCAATATAAAGGTGCTAAATTATATTTTTAAAACATAGTTAATATCCTCAGCTAATAGTTCAGCAGAGTTCAGAAAATTGAAGGTATATTTTCAATTTCTTTTAAAGTGAATTCTGAAACAGTTTAATGGCCTTTTTATATAGCAGTTTTTATACTAGGAAAAGGAAAAATTATAAAAATTATTTGGCAGGTAATACAATTGCATTTAATTTTTAAAAGTGTGTTAATACATATCTTTTAGTTCTGTAAGTTATAGTTGAAATAGCATATGAAAAATTCATGCTTTCTCTAAAAAAATTGTATATAATGTACAAGAGTAAATATTATTTTGTATTATGTTAATCAATATGTATATACATGTGTATATCCACATATCAGTATATAAATAATATACATATACATATATGATACGTGTCTGTAATGTTTGAATTCATGTAAGACACAGGCTGTTTCCAGATACTCTTTATTACTTTTATGTATTTTTTTAAGTTTATTTATTTTTGAATGAGTGAGAAAGAGAGGGGAGGGAAGGGGAGAGAGAGAATGCCAAGCAGGCTTCATGCTGTCAGCGCAGAGCCCCATGCGGGGCTTGATCCCACAAACCGTGAAATCATGACCTGAGCCTAAATCAAGAGTTGGATGCTTAAGTGAGTTGAGCTACCCAGTCTCCCCTCTTTATTACTTTTAAAATGCTTTTATTTCTGACAGATAAATAAAACAGCAGCAGTGACTTTGAGGTTAGTCAACATAACCGTAAAGTTAATTTATTTCATTACAGTTAGAAAAACTTTCTAGTTGTGATGGTAAAAATTTAAATCATTGATTTGATTTCTGCAGGAGAAATAAGAGTACTACAATGTTATCCATCACAGTACATTGCTTTCTATAATTATACAGTATAATTTACAAATATTAAATGTTGCTTATGGCATGTTACCCAGACTCTGGAACTGATTTCTTTTTCTTTTCCTTTCTCTTGCTTCAGATGTTCATCAAGTACATAAAGGTTAGCAACCTTCTCTTTTGAAATATTGAATAACAAGGCATGGCATATTACTGCATGGCAAAAAACACAAAATTTTACAATTATTAATTTTTGGGGAAATGAGGACTTTACTTTTAGATATGTTGTAATGGAAGAAACTGAATACATTGCTAGATATTCTCACATGCACTGTGCTTTTATTCTTTAGGTGGAGTTGGTATCACATTTTGGATCAGAGCACTTTTGTCCATTAAGCCTTATAAGGTATTATAGAACAACATACGTTTTCTGAGTGATTTTAAAAAAATGATACACAAAAATCCCAGTATTTTTAAAGTGAAGAAATTTCCTATCATGTGAAATTGATACTATAAAAAATTAGCTGTTAAACCTTTCTTGTTCTTGAATCCATTTTAGAAAAATATAAATATTTGCTCTAAGAAAAAATAACTTCTATATGTCTGGCTTAGCTTCCTTGCTATTTTGCTGTGATTAGATAATATATGGAAATATCTTAGACTGATATCAAAACTGGTCATTACATTTTTAAATGCCTTAAAAGTATTTTAATGGAAACAGTGGATGGGAGGTTCCAGTGTAAGAAAGAGTCATTATTTTGAAGTCCAGAAGCTAATGACCCTCGAAAAATGACCAAAGTTAATGTATTTTGTCACTTATAATGAAGAGAACAACTCTGTTCTGTTTTGAAAGTCTAATGAAATTGTTGTTACTAGGGTATTTGGCACCAGCATGGTAGAAGAGTATGAAGAGATTGCTGATTCCCAGTATCAGTCAGAACGTCAAGAACTCTTTGATGAAGACTATGGTAAGTGACTTTAAGACACGTGACTATTACGTATGGCTTTTTGTTTGTTTTTAAAATCTAATAACCTGAAGGAGTAGGAGAAGTTTTTATAACACCCTCTATTTCTATTTTATCAAGTAATTGTTTTTCACTTTTTTTCTTTTTTTAATGTTTATTTATTTTTGGGAGACAGAGGGACATAATGCAAGCAGAGGAGGTAGCAGAAAGAGAGGGAGAGGGGAGGGGCAGAGAGAGATGGAGACACAGAATCTGAAGTAGGTTACAGGCTCTGAACTGTTAGCACAGAGCCTGACTCAGGGCTCAAACTCGTGAACTGTGAAGTCATGACCTGAGCCGAAGTCAGACACTTAACTGACTGAGCCCTCCAGGCACCCCAAGTCCTTTTTTTAAAAGGTCTTAACGCCGGTCAGAGTGACTAAAATGAACAAATCAGGAGACTATAGATGCTGGCGAGGATGTGGAGAAACAGGCACCCTCCTACACTGTTGGTGGGAATATAAACTGGTGCAGCCTCTCTGGAAAACAGTGTGGAGGTTCTTCAAAAATTTAACAATAGAACTCCCCTATGACCTGGCGATAGCACTGATAGGAATTTACCCAAAGGACACAGGAGTGCTGATGCATAGGGGCACATGTACCCAGTGTTCATAGCAGCACTCTCAACAATAGCCAAAACATGGAAAGAGCCTAAGTGTCCATCAACGGATGAATGGATCAAGAAGATGTGGTTTATCTATACCATGGAATACTACATGGCAGTGAGAAAGAATGAAATCTGGCCATGTGTAGCAACATGGATGGAACTTAAGGGTGTTATGCTGAGTGAAATAAGTCAGGCAGAGGAGGACAGATACCATATGTTTGCATATATAGGAGGATTAGGAGGAACTTAACGGAGGACCATGGGGATAAGAAGGGGAAAGATACGTGGGGAGAGGGAGGGAGGCAAACCATGAGAGACTCTTGATTGCCAAGAACAAACTGAGGGCAGATGGGGGTGGGGGGGAGGGAAAAGGGGGTGATGGGCGTGGAGGAGGGCACTTGTGGGGACGAGCACTGGGTGTTATATGGAAACCAACTTGACAATAAACTATTAAAAAATAAAGGTCTTAAACCATAGTCTGAAAAATTGAATTTTTTTCTTCCCTAATTTTCCTGTAAGTGAAATGAAAACATTTACTAGGGTTTGGTAAAGTACATGGAAAGCTTGAAAAAAGTCTTATAACTGAGTAAAATTTTGGTAAGCAATGAAATTATTTTCCTTGGTTTACATCTGCTTGATAAATTGCTTCTGAATCTCATTTACTTTTTGTGAATATATTTTAGATTATAGTGAATATTATAAAATATGCTTTAAATGTCAGCTGACTTTGACAGGGACAGTTCTTTGTGTAGTTACCTTCATTTTCTCTTTAAACAGATTATCCACTGGATTATAATACTGGGGAGGATAAATCCTCAAAAAATCTTTTTGGTTCTGCTACAAGTGAGTATTTGGGAATTTTCCTAGACACTACTAAAGTATTTCCCAACTTTTTTTTCCCTTACATAATGTGGACATTTTGTTGTGATATCGTTTAGGAAGCTCCTACTCCTAATATTGAACTTGAGTTGAAATAAAAGATACTGGTTTTGAAATATATTTCTATAGAAATAAAATAAGCATGGATGAAAAGAAAGAGGAGAGGAAAAAATGCAAGTACAAGTTGTTTCTTCTACCCTAAGTGCTTATGTTGATAACGCAGATTCATTGGAAGAATGGACTATAAATTTACGGGGGGAAAGAATTATTAAAGAGATCCTAGACCATCTAAGTAGAAGCATCTGGATAGTCATGCTAGGTAGGAAAGGAATTCGAATGGTAGTTGCAGAGGTAGTATGTATCAGTGAAATCTAGTAAACAAGGGTTCATTAATCTATGGATATAGTTTCCTATATAATTACAAAATATAAAAGCTGTTCTTATTCATAATAATAAAGATTCTCAAGTAGTAACAGTAATAGTAATGATAATATAGTCTTTGTAAACTGAAGAAATAATGACTAAGATAGACTAGTGGTTCAGTTTTTGTCATGCCTGCCTAGCAGTAGGCTGGCTAAGGAGTCTCTTGGAAAGACCATTACCAACTGACACTTTTTTTTTACTGTTATAATGCAGGTAGGTATATTTTAATGCTTGTTATTTTTGTTTATTCCTAAAGAATATAAAATACAGAAGGAGTTTTCTTTTTACTTGGAGATTAATATGATAAAAATAAATCTTTGTGGTGCCTGGGTGGCTCAGTAAGTTAAGCATCCAACTTCGGCTCAGGTTTGTGGGTTCGAGTCCTGTGTTGGGTTCTGTGCTGACAGCCAGTTCAGAGCCTAGAGCCTGTTTCAGATTCTGTGTCTCCCTCTCTCTCTTAACCTCCCCTGCTCACGCTTTCTCTCTCTCTCTCTCTATCTCAAATAAATAAAACATTAAAAAAATTTTTTTTTAAAGTAAATCTTGGTAGAATAGATGACTAGGTTCTTGTGCGTTTCCCTTATTGCCCTTAGTGATCAGAGTTGCCTACTTATGGTGTACTTTGTCTTTATACCTTTTGGGATACTCAACCAGTAGTGTATATACTTAAGTAGAGCTACACTATAGGAAGCTATGAGTCATTTCTGTTTTTTTAAAATTGTTTTATTTTTTTTTATTTTATCTTTTTGTTTTTCTTCTCCCTTCTAACCGTTTTACTCTTCATAGAAAACTAGTCTTCAATGGACTTTTTAAGCATAGGAAGAAGAATGTTAAAAATACCTGCGTAAGAGGAATCCTTTTATGTAGTGTTTAACTTTATTGCATATTAATTCAGTATACTTTATTTCACTGTACTTGCTAGTCAATTCACTTTCTAGATATTAGAAACTTACTTTTAACTAGGAAACTTATTTAGTTGATGATGGCATTAAAAATAGGTGCTTCATTCACTGCTGTGGGATGTAGTTTTTTAGGAGTGAAAAACATGATGCTGTCTTATCTATGTGGATATTAATATTGTTCATTTCCTAAATTCATATGAAAAATTCTATGTTGTGTAGTCATCATCATTGCTCAGTGATGCTGTATTAGCTATGAGGCAGCGTTATTATTTTATGGAGTCAGAAAATAGCCCTGAACTGAAAGATCTCTAGTTTCTGATGGTTATTAGAAAGAAAGGGGAACCTTAGATCGCTTTACCGTAGTCTCAGACAAAGGAAAGCTTGTTAATATTCTTGGTTTCTTTTTATATAATTTTAGGGGATTAACTGCTAGACACCATGAAAGCCCAGTTATATCTCAATGGAAGACATTTCCTTATTTGTAATCACTTCTCTGACCAAAGTATTATTTGAATGAATTAGATACAGGATCTTCTTTATTTATGTCCTACTTTTGGAATCTTTTTCCTTGAAGACGTGTTTCTTGATAATTTTTCTTTTTATGAATCTCTGAAAATGTAGTCTCAAACCTTCCAGTGTTCTAGTGTTGAAAGAATTTGTTTAGTGAGACAGATGGGTGGGAGGATGTCAGCTAAGCTGAAACATAGAAAATGGAGTGTAGAAAGGTGTCCGTCTCTTGACATTTCAGAAAAAAGAGAGGCAGTAGTACCTGACTGATGACTTTGGTGTCATAAAGCTTGTAGACATGACCTAACACTGCCATCTTCTATACCTGTTCTTCCTAGTTTTATGTGAAGAGTCTGGGACTATTTCTGAGCCTGACTTTGCTACTACCTCCAAGGTGGTATAACATTTAAGGAGTAAATATCAAAATAGAATCAGGCCAAAGAACTAGTCTCTGGTACTAGAATATCTGAATTTGACTGTCCTCGTCACACGATGAATTAGCCTGAAATCAGCCAATTTTGAACCTGGTTTATTTTTTATAGAGTCTCCAAAACAGAATTCTGTGGCTTTAATCTTAATAGAAACTCCTTTTTCCTTTTGGTATTGAGCAGTTGGTTAGTAGTTACAGGAAATACATGTCACCAGAGTACATTGCTTCTATTAGGACTAGTTGTCAAAGAGCATATATACCACATTCTTGATATTCTATAATTTTCTTAACTACCAAAAAGGGAGAAACTACTGTGTTAGAGAGAGCAGCATTCTTGACTTTGTGTTTATGCCGGCTGTGGCAGCTCTTCTGCCTGATTCTTTAACGAGCACGTTTAAGTATTTTACATCAACAAAAATTCTTCATATTACTTTTTTTGTGTTTTGTCATGTGGATTTTCCAGACCACTTTCTACTCTGATATTCTTGCAAGTCTGCCTTTACTCCTAAATAGGGTCTGCATTTTGTTAGAATCGTTTAAAGGCCAGGTTTCTGTATATTTAAGATAATATATAGTTTTTGAGTTCTTTTACCTCAAAGTATTTTTTATGAATGTATATATTTTAAGGACCTAGAAGAGGAAGAGAAAATGAAGGTGGGCAGGCAGCAGAGGTATCTGAATTCACGTGGGAAGAAATATTTTGTTGGTTTGTCTTTTTATATTGTATCATAGGTAGTTTGTTTTCTGTATCCAAAAGAGCCATAGTCTTTTGGAGACTGAGTATAACATGTTGATGGTCCCTGGGAGAATTTCATTTCTAAAGGAGTTAGATTGGATGAATAGTGCCTAGCTCAAAGATAAAGGAGTTGGCTAATCTGGGAGAAACTAAGGACAGGTATCTAGTTTGGTACTATATTCCAAATTATTACTTTGACCCATTCCAAAGGATTTTTAGTGGTTAGATTATCGTTGTGACAAGCTATCATGTGTTTGGGAGCAAATTGGGAATGGTCAGAATAGAACATTTACAAAGCTGCTTTCTCTCAAAAGACAAAGTAAGACTACATTTGGCAGTGTTCTGTGAACATAGCAAAATTATTTTTTATGGATTGGTTGGGCGGAGAATATAGACATTTGCCAAATTTTGTTTTTATTACCAAGTAGACCCATGAAATGCTTATTATAAATAATATTTTTAAATGATGGATGATTTAGATTTATATTTAGGTTAAAAATTAATACTCTAAAGTTACTTTCTTAGGGAAGGTGCCTGGGTGTCTCAGTCAGTTAAGCATTAGACTTCGACTCAGGTCATGATCTTGTGGTTCATGAGTTCGAGCCCAGTGTCAGGCTCTGTGCTGGCAGCTCAGAGCCTGGAGCCTGCTTCCGATTCTTTGTCTCCCTCTCTGTCTGCCTCTCCACTGCTCATGCTCTGTCTCTCTCAAAAATAAACATTAAAAAGGTTAAAAAAAAAAAAAGAGTTACTTTCTTTACACAGATTAACAGATGTGTTCTGTTAATGAGTTCTTTAATAGTAAATGCCCCCAAATTTAAATGCCCCTCAAATTTTTTTTTCTGAGGTAAGATTGATTTAGAGTATAGGTTTGATTCCAAAATTTGGAATCTGTGAAGCGGTCAGTTTTAACTAAACTTTGGCCGGCAGACTAAGTAGAAGAGACACTATTGCAATATTGGTTGACGTTAAAAGTGGGTTTATGAGGAAATAACAGTTTCCGTTGCTACTTTATCGTGGCTTATGAGGAAATATGTTTCCATTCCTGGGTGATTTTTTTTTTTAAAGTTTTTTAATTCCAGTTAATATACTGTGTAATTAGTTTCAGGTGTACAATATAGTGATTCAGCACTTTCATACAACACTTCATCACAGCAAGTGCACTTAATCCCCGTCACCTATTTTACCCATCCCCCCATGCATCTCCCCTCTGGTTCCTATCAGTTTGTTCTCTATAGTTAAGAGTCTCTTTCTTGGTTTGCTTCCCACTCTCTCTTTTTTCCCTTTGCTCATTTGTTTCTTAAATTCCACATATGAGTGAAATGGTATTTGTCTTTCTCTGACTGACTTTTTTCACTTACATAAAACTCTGTAGCTCCATCTATGTGGTTGCAAATGGCAAAATTTCATTCTTTTTCATGGGCGAGTAGTGTTCGTGTGTGTGCGTGTGTGTGTGTGCACGCGTGCGTGTGTGGTGTGCACGCGCGCGTTTACACTTCATCTTTATCCATTCATCAGTCGATTGATACTTGGGCTGTTTCCACAATTTGGCTATTATAGATAATGCTGTTACAAACATCAGGGTGCATGTATACCCTTACTGTAATATTTTTGTATTTGGGAGGTAAATACCCAGTAGTGTGATTATTGGATCATAGGGTATTTCTGTTTTTTACTTTTTGAGGAACCTCCATATTGTTTTCCAGAGTAGCTGCACCAGTTTGCAAGAGAGTTCCCCTTTTCCTGCATCCTCACCAACACCTATTGTTTCTTGTGTTGATTTTAGCCATTCTGACAGGTGTGAGGGGATATCTCCTTGTAGTTTTGATTTGTATTTCCCGGATAATCAATTGATGTTGAGCATCTTTTCATGTGTCTGTTGGCCATCTGTAGGTCTTCTTTGGAAAAAGTCCTATTTCAAATCCTCTGCCAGTTTTTTAATTGAATTTTTAGTTTTTTGCTATTGAGCAATATAAGTTCTTTATGTATTTTGAATATTAACCCCTAATCATATATATGATTTGCAAATCTTTTCTACTGTTGGAATACTGGTTGACATTAAAAGTGGGTTTATGGAAAATAACAATTTTCATTGCTACTTTACCTTGGTTTGTGAGGAAATACGGTTTTTTCATTCCTGTTTTTTCCCATGCCTTTAGCCTAAGAATCAACACTGCTTCTTTGTTTACCAATTTGTCAGGTCGAAGGGCAAGGTTGACCTATAATCCTAGACATTTATAAAGCAAGTACAAAACTTTTGTGTATTATGCTAATGATTGGGAGCAAAGTACCACTGCTTAATTGTCTTTATATGTAGAACTATAATTATGATGTAAAGTTCAAAATTTATGACTATCTACTAGTTATCACTTTTGAAACTGTCTAAAATTTCCTGCTACTTTCTCCTGCCTTAAAACCTTTTTCTTTATAAGATCAGCTCCAGGTGACAGTGCTTGGCTTCTCAACTTTCTAGATAGTGTGCCAGCTTTCCTCCCTTAGAGCCTTTTCTGCTTTTCACACCTGTGGTTTTTGCTGCAAGTGTAATGAAAACCCTATGGATCTCTTAGGAAAGGAAACCAGGACAAAAATAACTGATGAGGCTTAAGATATATTCCTTGCCAGATCTTAATATTTTAATAGAAATACCTGTTACTGGTGAATTAACTTCAAGTGGAATGTCCAAGATTAGATAATGCAGAAGGTGTCATGACTTTGGCTTTACCTGCTCATTCCCACCCAATTCACAAAAGAATTTGTGTCATTTATTATCCATTCAACATCATTAAAAGTTATCAAAGACATTTGGTTCTATGCAGTCAAGTTGGGATTTAACCATATTATCAATAGATAAGATAGGTTCATAGTTGAAAGGAAAATTTTTCTGCCTTCCTTTGGATAATAATCTTCCCATTTTGTTTATTTATACCTGAAAGAATCACCTATTGAGGGAAACTGCTGCTTCAAGCTTTTTTTGTTTTTGTTCTAATTTGTAAAACCCTTAAAAAAGTAAATTTTCCTATACAATACTAATTTTGCTTTTCACATTTTTTCCCTGTCTCAGTACAGGCTATATGTTGAATTTTACCTGAATTTTGTAATGTGCTGAAGATGCTATTTTGGCAGAAGCTCTGGGGAAACTTTACCAAAAAATGTATAATTAGGTTTCTGAACGTAAAAATTCAGATTTATACTTTCTGACTGAAATTAATCCAAAGAAATGACAAAAGACCATTATAAATGGTTTCTTTTTTTTTTACTATCTGATATTAAACTTTATAAGGATATTTAAGTGTATTGGTATTTTTTCTGATTGAATTTTGTTTTAGATGCCATTCTAAATATGGTGAATATTGCCGCTAATATTCTGGGAGCAAAAACTGAAGACCTGACAGAAGGTACCTAATCATTTTATGGGTTTTTTAAATCTCTGATACTCAAGGGGTCATTCTAGTTAGGAAAATTCATTAGTAAGCCAAGCAATATGATTTTTCATTTAGAAATGAAGAGATGATGCAAAGGAACTTACCAGTCTTCTATTATTTGTTGTTGATTTGAATTTCACAAATTCTCTCTTATAATAAGGATCCTCCTGTCTATAAAATTCATGAATTTGTTTTTTGACTCTTCCTTGCTGTAGAAGTAATCATTTTATCCCTTATTTCTTTCCTGAGGGTTTGATGCTCCAGTGGTACTTCATGCATGCTTTTCTCTTATTTATCAAATAACTACTCAATTTAGAAAGTGATTTTCCCCCCTACAGAATGCCAAATAAGAATATCAGTAGCAAGGAGAAACCATCTTGCCTTATTTTGCTCTTAGAAAATACTTAGTTCCAAGTGCAAACTTAAAATGACCCATACATTTCATTCTCTTTCGTAACTCCTTTAGGTCTCTGGAAGTCATGTTAATCATGTATGAATACATGATATTTATAGTCTTTTGACTTGCTTTACTTACCTGAGAAGTTGAGAAAGTATATGCATTATTTGTAGCTTTGACTTTGCATGATCATTTCTTTCTAAAAGAACTTTGATGGAAGAAAATAAAGTCTGCAGTAGCAAATCTGTTTGACTTTTTTTTTCTTCCCCAGAAACTAAAGTTCTTTACTTGTTATAGTGAAATATCTTCATGGTATAGCTTTTTAAAATTAAACTCAACATGGGTATCTTTCTTAAAATAGGAAATAAAAGTTTATCTGAGAATGCCACTGCCACAGCTGCACCTAAAATGCCCGACTTAGCTCCTGTTTCAACTCCTGTTCCACCACCTGAGTAAGTTCTGTTGTGATATTAGAGTTCTGTTAAAATGGAGAGCTAAGTGTACATAAAAAGATACTTTGGATTTGTGTGTGAAATGATAATCTATAGAAAGCTCTGAGTCATAAGGCAGGCATTCCACAGCCACTTAAAATACCTTTGAGTTGCCTTTTGGGTCCTAGGAATGCACTTACTCCAGACCAAATGTTTGTTGTTTTGAAAGTATGTATTACTTTTATTATTTACAACACTGAATCTTTTCCTTATTGCAAATAATTGGCCTAATTCTGCAGGTATAAGGTTTGAGGACAAATTTTAAAAGCTTGCTTTTATTAAGTTCAAATTTAAAAACATTGATTAAATATCTGTGCTATAAAGGTACCTGAAATACCTACAGCAGTGATTCTTAAATTATATGTTTGTCACACAACAAACTCTTACAGTGTTTAGTTTTAAAATTGAATTTGATAGAGGCCTTTCCCCAGGTTGCAGTGGGGCACCTTGGGGAGGAATATCTGTCATGTAGTTAACATAAAATATCCTCATTTCCTTAGTCTTTTCCAGAGATGATTAAGGTTCTTTGCCAGCTCTACTTATCTATGACAGATAAGCTCATAATGACTAGATAATTGGGTATAGTTACTATAAATTTTGTATATTTCACTAGGTATACTTTTTTTTCTCAGAACTCTGCTTAACAGGATAAGATATTTGAACAGGAATTATATAATGAAACCTGCAGTGAGTATGGTTCTAGCTGTAATTCCTAAATACCATACTGATTCAAAGGTGAGATTTTTGTACTTTGAAGGACACAGTGAAAAACTTGTATTGTGTCAATTCTAAAAGAGACTAAAGATACTTATTGGATGATTAAAGAGAAAATAATAGCATTATGTGTCAGTGATTCCTAGAAGATCCTAAGAAAGCTACTGTGATTGCTAGTTCCAATTTTTGTAACTAGGCTTCTTCAGTTCTTATTTTTCAAAACTAAATGAAACTGATTTTATATATGTACACACATGAATGTTAAAAGATACCACAGCACACTAATGTAGTTTTTACTTTTCTATATTAGAGTTTGATTTTAGTAGTTATTTTTGTATAAAATCTATTTCCTTTTAAATGTTTTTTATATTTGTTTTAAATTCTTTTTGCTGATTATATGGAAATACTTTGAAGAAAATAAATGAAAATGAAAGAATCCATGATAGGATGTCACTGTTAAGTTACTATGAAAAGATGACCGATTTTCTTTTTCCAAGTTTGAGTTTTTTTAAAGTGTAGCTCCAATTAGAGTATATACAGATGGCATATAATTTAATGCACCAAATTAATTCACTTTGGTTTTTCTCCCTCCCCTTCTTCAGACTCTGCTCATTTTCACTGTCATGATTTATGTGGTACATAGTAAGCAGTAGAAGATGTTTAGACATTATCTATCATCTATTTAAAGAAGTGTAATCTAATTTACTGTTTTACTATCAACAAGATGAAAATCTAGCTTTTTAGATACTGTTTCACTCCTACCATTGCTATTGTAAGATTAGTCTTTATTCAAAAACATTTCCTGGCATTCTTAGTAATTTTTTAGAGTAGGATAATTGTATACGAAAATGTTTCTTTAAAAGGGTATTCAAATTACTTTATTTGAAAAAAAAAAAGTGTACCTTTTGTGCTGTAAGGACCATATCTGGAAATTCATTATTTTTATCCTGGAATGAACCACACACATTGTAGTTTACAGCACTGTTCCCACCAGCTCCATCCCCCATGTATGTACCTTACATACATATTCTAGGGCTTCAAGACGGGATTGAGTTACAGATGGGGCACTATATATTTTTAGCCAGAATTTATATTAGGGTGGCTAAGTATTTGGCTTTAAGTAATAGAAAATTAGCCCAAATGATATTAAGACTATTTTGGGGAGTCGGGGAGGGAAAGATGCAGATAATCGTGTGTGTGTGTGTATGTCTGTATATGTGTGTAATGCTGCCTTGGAAGTCCTCTAATCATCCACAGAAAAATTTTCTTTGAGAAATCTAGCTATCTTTTGAAAGTAGGATACCTAAACACAAAGTGCATTCATAAGTATTAGAACTTGGATTCTAGTTCTAGAATCCACATACAAACAATTCTTAAATAGATATTTTTAAAAAGTAAGTTTTATTTAGTAAATATGGTGATTTGAGTCACCTGGCTGATTGTATGATTTGTATGGCCTTTCTGTTACTGTTTGTGAATGATACTTGTTTTTGTAATGAAAATGATTTGTAGGGGAAAAATTCATCAAAAAAAGTTTTCAGTTTCTTCTGTATTTTCAGTCTTCCTTTTATTTAATGTATGAAGCATTGATTTTTTAACATAATTTTAACTTTACATTTCTAATTAAAGTGATATGTAATTATGATATGTATTTCTAGGTTTATAACCACTGAAGGACACATACATGATACAGAGCTGTCGTCACCAGATACTCCAAAAGAGAGCCCCATTGTACAGCTAGTTCAAGAGGAAGAAGAGGAGGCAAGTCCATCTACAGTGACCCTTCTGGGTAGTGGTGAACAGGAGGATGAATCATCACCCTGGTTTGAGTCAGAGACACAAATATTTTGCAGTGAACTGACCACAATTTGTTGTATTTCTAGTTTTTCGGAATACATATATAAATGGTGTTCAGTCCGAGTTGCTCTTTATCGGCAACGTAGCAGAACTGCTGTGAAAAAAGAAAAAGATCATCTTGTGTCAGCGCAACCACCACTGCTGCTTCCTGAAGAATCAGTGGATGTTTCAGTCTTGCCACCTCCAAGTGGAGAAATGGACAGTAAGAGTAAGGAAAAGGAAGCTGAAATGATTGTTCCAGGTGACTTAAGTAGTCTGCACAAAGGTGATTTGATTAATCACAGTGCAGATGCAATTGAGCTTGAACCAAGCCATCCTCAAACTGTTTCTCAGTCTCTTCTCTTAGATGTTACCCCAGAAATCAATTCATTATCTAAAATAGAAGTATCTGAGCCTGTTAAATTTGAGGCAGGTCCTACACCGTCTCAAGTGATCCCCCTAGAGAGTTCTGTTGAGCTTGATAATGAAACAGAAAAAAAGTCTGAGAGTTATAGTTCTGTAGAAAAGCCAACTGTGATCTATGAAACAAATAAACTTCATGAAGTAATGGATAACATTGTAAAAGAAGATAAAAACTCCATGCACATTACCACAAAGCTATCTGAAACAATAGTGCCACCTGTAAACACAGCTACTATGCCAGACAGTGAAGATGGGGAAGCCAAAATGAACATAGCTGACACACCAAAGCAAATTTTGACTCCTGTTACGGATTCTTCTTCATTACCTGAAGTGAAAGAGGAAGAACAGTCTCCGGAAGATGCCCTTTTAAGAGGGTTACAGAGGACAGCTACAGACTTTTATGCTGAATTGCAAAATTCCACAGATCTAGGATACACTAATGGAAATCTTGTACATGGATCAAACCAAAAGGAGTCAGTATTTATGAGACTTAATAATCGTATAAAAGCCTTAGAAGTTAACATGTCTCTCAGTGGTCGCTATCTGGAGGAGCTTAGCCAAAGGTAAGCTTTATCAATTAGCACAGTCCACTATGCATAGTGAGGTAAGAGGCATAGTCTGATTTGTGATGAGAGGAAGAGAGGATTAATTATCTCATGATACAGTAGTCAGTGCCATTTTAGTTGGAGAGAGAAAGTTACTTGGATGTTGATGATCAAGGACTTAAAGAATTGATTTTCTTTTTTAGAAGTACTAAGTGATGTAATACCTATATCTATATATCTATATCTACATACTAGGGTAACAACAAGTTGAATTAGTCAGTTTCTCCTTCTATAGTTTTACTTTAGCCACTTTCACTTTGGGGTTCACAGTACTTGTGGGGACATTATAGTATTATATAACATGTGTATCTATACTGTATATGTAATATCTGTATAAACTATGGATGTTGAAGCCTTTAGTGGAACTAGGTAAGATATCCATTAAGAGTTTAAATAAGTGAAGACTAAAATGGACTGAACTGGATGATTAGGCAACATTTGCAGTCTTTCATATGTCTTAGAATCTTGGTTCTAGTTGTGATAATTTATGCTCTTGTGCTCATAGTGCCTGTGTGCTTATGCAGTGATTAGAGTCCCAGGCATAGTTCTCCATTTTTCTCATACCTGTTTGCTCTTTTTTATCCCTTAAGTGTCCAGGGTCCTCAGGGCTCCTTTTCCAACATTTTATAACCACCTAGGCAATAAATGTCCAGGGAGTCTGAAACACACCTTTCCCTACTCCTTTTCAGTCAAGGTGCCTCTAAGGAGATGTCAATAAGGTCATCATTCTATCCAAATGGTTTTCCTCCTAATCCATACATACACTTTATTGGCAAGTTGTGTGTGCATGTGCATGCATGCCCACAGATAGGTACCTAATACCTACTTCTCCCTGCCCCCTCAGCCTCTGCAAGGAAACCACAAAAATCACTAGTAATTTTTTTTGTTTTCTAATTGAGATATAATTGACATTAATTTCAGGTATACAATTAGTGATTTGATATCTGTATATATTGTGAAATGTTCACACATTATGTCTAGTTAACGTTCATTACTACAGAGTTACAAGATTTTTTTTCCTTGTGATAAGGGCTTTTAAGATCTATTCTTCTATTCTCTTAGCAACTTACAAATACGCAGTAGAGTATTATTAACTATAGTCACCATGCTATACATTACATCTCCATTACTTAACTCATTTTATAACTGGAAATTTGTACCTTTTGACCCACTTTACCCATTTCTCCCATCTGCCATCCCCCACCTCTGGCAACCACTAGTTTGTTCTCTGTATCTATATGTTTGAGAGTACGGTTATTATGAGATTGCACCTGTACGTGAGATCATAGAATAGATGTCTTTCTCTGATTTATTTCACGTAGCACAATGCCCTCAAGTTCCTTTCCTGTTGTTGTAGATGGCAAGATTTCCTTTTTGTATGGCTGAATAATATTCCTTGTTATACAGATACCACATTTACTTTATCCGTTTATTCTTTGATGAACACTTGGGTTGCTTCCATGTCTTGGCTATTGTCCATAATGCTGCAGTGAACATGGGAGTGCAGATATCTTTTCAAGTTAGTGTTTTTCATTTTCTTCAGATAAATACTCAGAAGTGGAGTTATTGGATCATATAGTAGTTCTATTTGTAATTTCTGAGAAACCTTCCTACTGTTTTGTGAAGTGGCTGCACCAATGTACATTTCCACCAATTGTGCACAGAGATTTCCTGTTCTTTACATCCTCACCAACACATTTATTTCTTATATTTTTTACAATAGCCATACTGATAGATGTGAGGTGATCTCTCATTGTGATTTTAATTTGTATTTTCATGAGGATTAGTGATTTTGAGCATCATTTCATGTACTTGTTGGCCATCTGTCTTCTTTAGGAAAAGGCCTATTCAGATCCTCTGCCAGTGTTTTAATTGGGTTTAATTTTTTGCTATTGAGTGGTAGAAGTCTTTATATATTTGGATATTAACCCCTAATCAGATACATGATTTTCAAATATTTTCTCCCACTTGGCAGGTTGCCTTTTCATTTTGTTGATGGGATTTTTTGCTGTGCAGAAGCTTTTTAGTTTGATGTAAAGTCCACTTGTTTATTTTTGCTTTTGTTGCCTTTGCTTTTGTTGTCAAATCCAAAAATACCATCACTAAGCTCAGTTTCAAGGAGCTTACCATCTATGTTTTCTTCTGAGTTTTATGATTTCAGGACTTACATTCAAGTCTTTAATCCATTTTGAGTTACTTTTTGTATATGGTGTAAAGAGCAGTCCACTTTCATTCCTTTGTATGTGGGTGTCCAGTTTTCCCAACACCATTTATTGAAGAGACTGTTCTTTCCCCATTGTATATTCTTGGTTCTTTTGTCGTAAATTGATCAATAATGTGACTAATCTTATAGAGCAGTGAAATGCATATAATTGATGCTAAGGTAGCAAATACCTTAAGGGACCTCTTGATTTTTTACCTTTATAAGTGTTCCGGGCCTCAATAAGAGTCATTTTCCAAAGAGTAGATTTATCTCACATATTGAAATCAAAAGTGTGTTTGCAGTAATAAATTAATAAATTAAAGCTAATTTAAATCATTTCTTACTTCACAGGTATCGAAAACAAATGGAAGAAATGCAGAAGGCTTTCAATAAAACAATAGTAAAACTTCAGAATACTTCAAGAATAGCAGAGGAGCAGGTTGGTCATCTTCAAGCCTTATTTACTTTTTATGTTAATTTCTTCTGAATTCTGTAGGCCTTTACTGGTAAGAAGGATAAGTAGTGTTCGTTCATTTCTTCCCCTGATGAGTGATGATTAAGTTTGTTAGAGGATGTCATGTTTGGGAAATTTTCTAGCTGTTAGCATCTATATCTCTCTATCTAGAGAAAATTTTCTTGAGCATTATTCCTATTACATTTCAGATTTTGTGTGGGTATACACAGTAGAAGTGCAGTGGACTTTTTAATGCTACTTTGTTAAACTCAAATCTTCTGTGGTTTTTGACACTGACAGTCTGATTGATTGTAGATAAGAACAGCTATATTTCTTCTTTTTAATCCTCATACCTTTTCATTTCTTCTTTTTTTCTCTGTCTCACCTGGAGCCATACAGTGATGCCATATGACTAGTGGTAGTGGCCATTGTCCTGTCATGTTGACTTTAAACAGTTTCAGTATTGCATGATTTCAGTATTGTAGTATTCAGATATTTATTAAAAGTTTTTACAGTGTGTTACTACAATGAGGAAATTTTATATTTTTCTAAGTTTATCTGGGACTAGGGGATGATGAGATGGGGTGATGGAGCCAGAGGTTTCAGAATTTAGTTCCATCTTACTCTCAACTCTTGACACATAACAACTGTGGTTCCATACAAATATCCTCCTTTAGTGTTTTTTTTTTTTAAATTGCAGTTTGAGAATTATTTACGTATTTTGAATACAAATCCTTTATTAGAGATATGCTTTGCAAATATTTTCTCCCATTTCATTATTTGTTTTGTCATTACTCTAAAAATATATTTTGAAGAGCAGAAATTTATAATTTGTTGAAGCCCATTTTCTCTTTGCTCTATAAAATATTTCCCTAGCCCAAAGTCATAAAGATTTTTTCCTCTGTTTTCTTCTGAAAGTTTTATCGTTTTTGTTTTACATTAGGCTTATGATCTATTTTAATTTTTACATGTTGCAAAGTAAGGATCAAAGTTAGTTTTTGGTGGGGATGGGGATGAAGAAACATGAATATTCCTTTATTCCTTTATTTTGATCTGTTCATCTATCTTTATGCTGATACCAGCTTGTTACAATTACTGTATCTTTATGATAGTGTGAATCTTCCAACTTTGTTCATCTCTTTCAAAATAGTTTTGGCTAATATGGATTTTAGAATCAGCTTGTCAGTTGCTACAAAAAACAACCTATTTCCATTTTGACTGGGATTTTGTTGGAATTTATAGATCAGTTTGGAAAATTGGTGTCTTAACATACTGACTTCTGACCCATGAACACAGTATTTAATTGGTTCTTCATTAATTTTAATGGTTGAAATGATTTCCCATCTATATTTTCTTTTCGCAATACGTATAATATATGTGCCTTATGTCTCAAAGACTTATTTAAGTACTTTTAAATAATTTTGTGTGTTATTAACAGTATTGGAGGATAAGTCTTGATGAGAAGTGTTATCAGCTTATTAAATTTCATAGTTTTTTCTTTAAATATTTGTAACTGTCTGGAATTTATCAGTATTTGTCAAATGCGAGTCAGAACAAACAGTTTAATGAGTCACCTTAAGCATCTTAAAAAGATGAAGTAGGATAGAAAGTACCATACCACAGTGTATCACAGTAAGGGAAGTAAGTGAAACTTTCTGTTACAGTTTTATACATCCTCTCCCCCAAGCAGCCCCCACTGCCCACCCAACACAGTTGAGATTTAAATTTTATTTAAGTCTAATTTTTAATGTTTTATTTATTTATTTTTGAGAGAGAGAGAGAGCACAAGCAGGGGAGAGGCAGACACACACACACACACACACACACACACACACACACACAGAATTCAGAGCAGGCTTCAGGCTCTGAGGTGACAGCTCTAAGCCTGATGGCGGGCATGAACTCACAAACTGTGAGATCATGACCTGAGCACAAGCAGGGGAGAGGCAGACACACACACACACACCCACCCACACACACACACACACACACACACACACACAGAATTCAGAGCAGGCTTCAGGCTCTGAGGTGACAGCCCTGAGCCTGATGGAGGGCATGAACTCACAAACTGTGAGATCATGACCTGAGCACAAGCAGGGGAGAGGCAGACACACACACACACACACACACACACACACACACTTCAGAGCAGGCTTCAGGCTCTGAGGTGACAGCCCTGAGCCTGATGGAGGGCATGAACTCACAAACTGTGAGATCATGACCTGAGCCAAAGTTGGATGTTTCACTGACTGAGCCAGCCAGGTGCCCCCAAAAATGTATTTAAATCTAAATTTGAAAAACTTAGCTTGGAATGATAAATGGTTATATAGCTGCTTCATACAGGGACCCACAAAGTGTTAGATTTCTTTTACTTTCTTTTTTTTTTTTTTAAATGTTTTTTATTTATTTCTAGGAGAGAGAGAGAGACAGCGTGAGCAGGGGAGGGTCAGAGAGAGAGGGAGTCACAGACTGAAACAGGCTCCGGGCTCTGAGCCGGCAGTCAACACAGAGCCCGACGCAGGGCTCGAACCCACGAACCGCGAGATCATGACCTAAGTGAAAGTCGGACGCTTAACCGACTAAGCCACCCAGGCGCCCCTGATTTCTTTTACTTTCTGTCCTGTTTTCCTCCTCCCAAATCCATTAGTAAGTTGAAATTTTCAGTACAGTCTCCCTGATATAGGTTCCTGACCATGAATGCGATGCATATTTGCCTAAAATATACATGCAAATGACATTTTAAGTAAAGACATGTTTGTTGATTACAAAAGTTTCTAAAATCTCGAGCTGGAAAGATCGGTGTTTTTGATTGATTTTCATTGGTGATGTTTTAGCATTGACTTGCTCATCAAGTGTAGGTTTTTGATTATGTGACATCCTAACTACTATCCTGATGTGCAATAAAATAGAACTTGTAAAAGCTTGGTATGTGCCTGCTTTATATCCAAAAACATTTTTCAAAAATTTTTCAACATGTTTTTGTGCTTTGGTTTAAAAACAAATTTGACAGAATAGTTTGCATATTGCTGACTATATGCTGGTTTATACACATGGAGCCCAAATTAACTTGAAAAGTAATTTATTAACTTGTATCAGACAATATTCTACATGGTAACAGTAAATGGCAAAATGGCTTCTTGGAGGGGGAGGGGAAGGAGGGTTGAACAGTCTCAGATTTTTTAATTTTAATTTCTGGTCCCACTTTACCATATTATTTCATTAAGAGCTTCTTATTAATATGTTTTTTTTTAATTCTTGAGAAACTTAGTAATATTTCCAGATGATTTTATTTGAATTTACAGCACATTTAAAGTGCAGATGAAACTTGCACACACAAAAAAATAATACTTCTTTCTTTCTTTATCAAAGGATCAGAGGCAAACGGAAGCCATCCAGTTACTACAGGCACAGTTGACCAATATGACACAGCTTGTTTCAAACCTATCGACAACAGTAGCAGAATTACAACGTGAGGTAATTGTTACCGCTGGTGTTGTAAGACACACTGCATATGCAGAGGTTGTCATAAAGACAAGGTGCTTAAGAACATGGCATTTAAGACTTTTAACCAAACAAAACCGTCATTCTGGTGTCATTCAGAGCACCAGAATGTGGCATTTTATAAAAATTTTTTAACGTTTCTTTATTTTGAAAGAGAGAATGCAAGCAAAGGAGGGGCAGAGAGAGGAGACACAGAATCTGAAGCAGGCTCCAGGCTCTGTGATGTCAGGACAGAGCCTGACGCGGGGCTTGAACTCACAAACTGTAAGATCATGTCCTGAGCTGAAGTCAGATGCTTAACTGACTGAGCCACCCAGGCGCCCCCAGAATGTGGCATTTTAAAGTTTATATATTAATAATGATAATCTTGGGGCGCCTGGGTGGCTTAGTCAGTTAAGCGTCCGACTTTGGCTTAGGTCATGATCTCGCGGTTCGTGGGTTCGAGCCCCGCGTCGGGCTCTGTGCTGACTGCCAGCTCAGAGCCTGGAGCCTGTTTCAGAGTCTGTATCTCCCTCTCTCTCTGACCCTCCCCTGTTCACGCTGTCTCTCTCTCTCTCTCTCCTAGAAATTAAAAAAAAAATAAATTAAAAAAAATAAATAAAATGTGGTTGCCTTTGTCTGTGCTACTTTTTCAGTATTAAAATATAATTATGCTCATTCATTACAAGTATTATTTTCCATGTCTCCAGTAAAATAAAANGAGCCTGGAGCCTGTTTCAGAGTCTGTATCTCCCTCTCTCTCTGACCCTCCCCTGCTCACACAGTCTCTCTCTCTTTCTCTCTCCTAGAAATAAATAAAAATATTAAAAAAAATAATAATAATAATGATAATCTTTTAGAAAACAAGGCATTCATAGTTTAGGTCTTACATAAAATATGGTTGTAAAGCAATTCTGTTAGGCCTTTTGCAGACGTCCGATACTTCATTTTCACCTCAGAAAGCCTTATTCAGTTGCTTAACAAAGCAAAAATTGTAGTGACTTGTTAAATATTTTTTGCACATCCAGTGTATATGAGGTGTGAGCTATATAGTCTTCGGGGCATACAGCAGTGAGCCACACAAGCGCCTCTCTCCTGGGGGAGAGAGAGAATACATATAGTAAAGATATGTTAGGGACAATGGGATAGAAATGAAATGTGTGCATGTGGAATGGTGTGGTAAGGGTTGCTCCTTTAGTTAGAGTGATTTTGGAAGGTTTATCTGAGGCGCATTAGAACTTGAGTACTCAAGAAGAGTTAGCAGCCACATGGGCCTAGGGTCAGAGCAAACCTGTTACCAGCAGAACTCTAGGGCAAAGGACCCACAATTAGAAATAGTGTAATGTGCAGGGTGCCTGGGTGACTCCATTGATACAGTGTCTGACTCTTGATTTGGCCTGTCATGATCGCATGGTTTGTGGGTTTAAGCCTTGTGTTGGGCTCTGCGTTGACAGTGCAAAGCCTATGTGAGATTTTCTATCCTTCTCTCTCTGCCCTTCCCTTACTCAGTCTCTCTCTCTCTCAAAAAAAATAAACTAAAATTAAAAAAAAAGAAATAGTGTCATATATCTGAGGGAAGAAAGAAAGCTGGTATGGTGAATAAGGGAAAGGACGGACAGGGATCTATTGTAGGCAATTTAGAAATTGAATTTTATTCTGATCATTGCAAGTCATTGGAAAGAATTGAGAAGTGACGTGGGTCGTTTCATTGACATCACTTTGAGAAGCTCCCCATTTGTTGCCCTGTGGAGAATTGCCTCTTGAGGAACAGCAAGAATAGAAGTGAGGAGGAAACCAATCAGGATCTAGTTTTAGTAACCTGGGTGAGGTGGTGTTGGTTTGAACTGAATTTTACAAGGAGAACAATGTGGAGTTGTGTTCAGGAAATATTTAAGAGAACAAGCCTTGCTGAAAGATTGGATGTGTGGGATGAGGAACTAAGGATGACCCTCACATTTTTGGCTTAAATAACTGGGTGATTGCGGGTTCAGTATTAGAAGATGGTGAAGGCTAAACAGGAGCAAGATTTTTTTTTTCCTCCTCCCCAAAGAGGAGATAGTATAGATGAAAAGACAGGGCAAATGTGGCAAAATGTTAACTTTGGTGAACATAGGTGAAAGGCATGAATATGTTCATTGTGCTATTTTTAAAAGTTTTCCCTAGGTTTGAAAATGTTCGAAGAATTGGGGGGAAAATGAAGAAAAAGACATTGCTTCACAGTAGTACTTACTCTAAGAGTATGCTCTGCATTTTATGGTTTGGAAATAGATTTTAAAATGTTGAAAATGATTTCTTTTGAATTTTATATCCCACTATATTTTTTCCTAGTATAATTTTTATATAATAACAAAACTTAAACTCTATAATAATTATTAAATCCTTTTCAGGTTTCAGATCGACAAAGCTATCTTGTCATATCTTTGGTTCTTTGTGTTATCTTGGGACTGATGCTTTGTATGCAGCGCTGTCGAAACAGCTCTCAATTTGATGGAGATTATATTTCAAAACTTCCTAAAAGTAATCAGTATCCAAGCCCTAAAAGGTAATATTAGCATTTTATTTCCCTTTTTTTACTGAGTTTTTTACATTTTTGAATTTTTTACATTTTTTACAATTTTGAATACATTTACATTCAGAATAAAGGAATACTGAAATAATTTTTCCCCATATGATTGTCTTAAAACTGCAGTGTTATAACATCATTGGAACTGTGAAATGGTCCTGTACCTGGAAGGTTCTGTAGACCGGAATAAAGAGATAACACTGATAGGAAGTGCTTAAACGCTTGAAATGTTTTGGTTGTGAAGGATATTTGAATGTAGAATTCAAAGGGAGAGGATAAAAGCTATTTTAATATAGCGACTTTTAGAGAATGATCTTAAAAACATTTTTTTTTTTACATGTAATAGTATTAATTGGAGTGTTGCATTAGAGATTAGTATTCTGGGACATGTTTAATTTTCAGTAGCTTCCATCAAGCCCCAGCTGCAGAGTAAATTATATGTAGTTTACCCTGTTCTCAGTGTTGATTTTTCTTCATGTTTTAGGTGTTTCTCTTCCTATGATGATATGAATTTGAAAAGGAGAACCTCATTCCCACTCATCAGATCCAAGTCTCTACAGTTAACTGGCAAAGAAGGTAGGTTTTTATGCAGTATGTATACATGCACATGAACGTGGCTTACTTCTGGCATAAGTATAATGTCAGTGTTGTGTTTGAAACCATCTGCAATAGAACAGTGGGTTCAAGTAACCTTTGTGTTTGTGCTTTGTCAAAGCCACATTATCATTTTCACACTTTATATATGTCTTTGTTACTAAAAGTCTAGAGGGTGAGGAAGAGGGGCTTAATTTAATTAGCCATTGGTAGCTTTATTTGCACCTGCTCCTGTTTAGAAGTATTTCTTTTTAGAAAGGGATGTTTGAAAAAGGTCAACAGATTTGGAAAACCTAAATGTGCTCCCATAGCATCCTGTGTTTATCTGCCTCCTCCTCTTGTACAGGTAGGACCCCTTTTGTCTCTAGTTTAGGACCATGAGGCACTTTCTGAAAAAAATCTAGTCTACCTCTGATTTATAGGCCAGGGTCTATAATAGCATTCCATTGTCTTAACCCTCAATACTTAAATTCAGTGAATGAATATATACTGAGTGGCTGTTTTTCTTTATCAGTTTTTTTATAATTAGTACTTATTAAGAGACTTATCTTTATAGCAGTATTAAAATAACCAAATTAATTATATATTTCATTTAGGAATGCTTTCTTAATAATTATTGGCTTCCCTTTAGGGTTTATATAGAGTGGCATGTTTCAGTTGATTAACTCTTTTGAGTGATCATTGCTGAGCAGGACTGGTTTTACTGTTCTTACACAGCTTTACTGACTTAACTTATTACACATGTGCTTACATATGACTAGTAAAACTCTTCTTTCTTCCTGCCTTTTTCTCTTTTTCTTCTGTTGGCTGATTTTTTATTATAACTGAAATTTTTTAAAATTTATTTTTATTTACTTATTCTGAGGGAGAGAGGGAGAGAGAGGGCAAGCAGGGGAGATACAGAGAGAGAGGGAGAGAATCCTAAGCAGGCTCTGACCGACTGTGCACAGCCCGATGTTGGCCTCAAACTCACAAATACAGGAGATCATGTACTGAGCCAAGATCAAGAGTCAGACGCTTAACTGACTGAGCCACCCAGGCACCCCTATAACTGAAATTTTTAATTGAAGTGTTACATGTAAGAAAATGTAATTATCCTATATAAAGCTTGGTGAAATTTTCTTTTTTTTTTTATTTTATTTCTTAAAATTTACATCCAAGTTAGTTAGCATATAATGCAATAATGATTTTCAGGAGTATGATCCAGTGATTCATTCCCTACATATAACATTCAGTGCTCATCCCAAGTGCTCTTAAATGCCTCTTGCCCATTTAGCCCACCCCCCACCCATAACCCCTCCAGCAACCCTCAGTTTGTACTCTGTATTTAAGAGTCTCTTGTCTTTTGTCCCCCTCCCAGTTTTTATATTATTTTTGCTTCCTTTCCCTTATGTTCATCTGTTTGTATCTTAATTCCACAAATGAGTGAAGTCATATGATACTTGGCTTTCTCTGATTAATTTCATTCAGCGAAATACACTCTAATTCCATCCATGTTGCAAATGGCAAGATTTCATTCTTTTTGATTGCCAAGTAATACTGTATTGTATGTATATGTTTACGTATATACACACACACCACATCTTTTTTATCCATTCATACATCGATGCTTATTTGGGCTTTTTCCATACTTTGGCTGTTTTTGACAGCACTACTATAAACATTGGAGTGCGTGTGTGCCCCTTTGAAACAGCACACACGTATCCTTTGGATAAATACCTAGTAGTGCAGTTTCTGGGTCATAGGGTAAGTCTGTTTTTAATTTTTTGAGAAGCCTGTTTTCCAGAGTGGCTGCACCACTTTGCATTCTCACCAGCAGTACAGAAGCATTCCTTTTCTCCACATCCTCGCCAACATCTGTTGTTGCCTGAGTTGTTAATGTTAGCCATTCTGACAGGTGTGAGGTGGTATTTCATCATGGTTTAGATTTATATTTCCCTGGTGATGAGTGATGTTGAGCATTTTTTTCAGTGTCTGTTAGCAAAGCTTGATGAGTTTTCATAAACCAAATGAACACACCTATGTGACCAATATCCAGATTAAGATGGAGAACTTTATCCAGCATCTCAGAAACTTCCTTGTGCTTTTTTAGTCACTGTCCATCCCCTCCCAGGATAGCCACTGTTTTGACTTCTCACATTTGACTGTGAGATGCACCATGTCATTGAGTATAGCTGTAGTTTTTTAATTCTCATTTATGTATAGTATTCCATTATGTAAATATACTACAAATTAATCATTAGCATTTGGATCATTTTCAGTTTGCTATTTGATAAACAAATGTATGCATTTTTTGTTGGGTATATACCCAGAAATGGGATTGCTGGATCATAAGATATTTGTATTTTCAGCTTTAGTAAATACTATCACACAGTTTTCCAAAGTAGCATATGAATTTGCCGTCCCCTCAGCTGTGTTTGAGAGTTCCACTTCCACATCTTCACTAACATGTAGTTTTGTTAGTCTTTAAGCCATTCCCATGGGTGGGTGTATATGCATTGCTTATTTTAGCTGTATTTATATAACGAGGAAATATGTTAATGATGTTTTTCCTTCTCAGCATTTCTAGTGTCATTTTAAATTAGTTGAAATCATGACTATTTTACTTTTTATCCTTCAGTTTATGTAACTCTTGAAGGCAAAATAAAATAACCTTTTGTACCTGACAATAGAATTCTATTTTAAACAACTTTGTCATCTTGGTTCATCTTTACAGTTAAGAAAAGTTGAGTACAGGGGTGTCTGGGTGGCTCAGTAGGTTAGGTATCTGTCTTTGGCTCAGGTCATGATCTTGGGGTTCACGAGTTTGAGCCCCACTTTGAGCTTCTGTGGTGATGGCTCAGAGCCTGGATCCTGCTTCAGATTCTGTGTCTCCCTTGCTCTCTGCCCCTCCCCCGCTCATACTCTCTCTCTCAAAAATAAATAAGACATTAAAAAATTTAAAAAAAAAGTTGAGTACATTGGACAGGAAGCTGGCTTTAATTCTGGTTTTGCTATTAGTTTAATTCATTTATTTCTTCTCGTTTTTGAATTCAGTCTTTTACGGTGTTCATTATGATCTGCTTTGATTTTAGCCATCCTGTACTTGCCTCATTTTCAATTGTGACCTTTGGGATAAGGGACCATGTCTTACTTTTATTGTCTTATCATGATAAAAGGCATATAACATAAAATTTGCCATCTTTAAATATGTAGTTCAGTAATGTTAAGTATTTTCGCATTGTTGTGAAGCAGATCCCCAGAGCTCTTCTGTTTGTAAATCTGAAACTTTGTTTTTATCAAACAACTCCCTTTTTCTGCCTCCTCCTAGTCCCTGGTAACTGCCATTATATTTTCTGTTTCTGTGAATTTGATTACTTTTGATACCTCATGGAAATAGAATCATAAAGTATTTGTTTTTCTGACTGTTTTTTTTTAACTTAATTAACATCGTGTCCTCGCAGTTCATCCATGTTGTACATGCGACCAGATTTCCTTCCTTTCTAAAACTCAGTAAGATTCTATTGTACAGATACACCACAATTTGTTCATTTCATCTGTTGATAGGCATTTAGATTGCTTCCAACTCTTGGCTATTGTGAATATCACTGATATGAACATGAGTGTGCAAATATCCAAGACCTTGCTATCAGGTCTTCTGTATGTATACTCAGACATTGGATTGCTGTATCATCTGGTAGTTTTTAATTTTTTTTTTATTTTTGAGAGAGAAAAATGGCACAACTGGGTGAAGGGCAGAGAGAGAGAAGGAGACACAGAATCTGAAGCAAGCTCCAGGCTCTGAGCTGTCAGCACAGAGCCCGACATAGGACTTGAACTCACAAACTATGAGATCGTGATTTGAGCCGAAGTTAGACGCTTAACCAACTGAGCCATCCAGGCGCCCTGGTAGTTTTATATTTTGAGGAAACTTTACACTGTTTTCTATTGTGGCTGCTCATTATACAATCCCACCAGCAGTATACAAGGGTTACAATTTTCTAATTTTCTCTACATCCTCATCAACATTTGTTTTTGGGTTTCTTTGTTTGTTTTTTGGATAGTAGTCCTCCTAATGGGTGTGGTGAATTCTCATTTGGTTTTGATTTGCATTTCTCAGATAGTGATGTTGAGCGTCTTTTTATGTCTGTGGTAGACATTTGTAAATCCTCTTTGGAGAAATATCCTTTGCTCAATTAAAAAAAATTTTTCATTTTTTCTTTTTAATTTTATTTAAATCTGAGTTAGTTAACATATAGTACAATAATGGTTTCAAGAATAGAATTTAGTGATTTATCACTTACATATGACACCCAGTGCTCATCCCAGAAAGTACCCTCTTTAATGCCCATCGCCCATTTAGCCCATCCCCCAACCCACCTCCCCTCCAGCTACTCTCAGTTTGTTTTCTGTATTTAAGAATCTAGGGGTGCCTGGATGTCTCATGCGGTTAAGCATCCAACTTTGGCTCAGGTCATAATCTCACAGTTCATGAGTTCGAGCCCTGCGTCGGGCTTTGTGCTGACAGCTCAGAGCCTAGAGCCTGCTTCAGATTCTGTGTCTCCCTATCTGCCCCTCCCCTACTTACACTCTGTCTCTCTCTCTGTCTCTTTCTCTCTCAAAATAAATAAACATTTAAAAAATTTTTTAAAAAGTCTTTTATGGTTTGCCTCCCTCTCTGTTTTTATCTTATTTTTCCTTCTATTTGAGTTTTTTGCTAATTTCTTTATATATTCTGGATGTTAATTCCTTATGAGATCTATGATTTGCAAATATATTTTCCCATTCCATAGATGTTTCTTCACTGTTGATTTTGTCCTTTGATGGACAGATGTTTTTAAATTTTAAATTTGTCTATTTCTGCTTTTGTTGCCTATACATAGATGTCATATCCAAGAAATCATTGCCAAGTCTGGTGTCATGAAGTTTCCCCTATGTTTTCTTGTAGGAGTTATATAATTTTATGCCTTATGTCTTTAATCCATTTTGAGCTAACTTTTATA